GGTTTAGTCATGCTGGCCACATGACCCAGAAAGCTGTCTGTGGACAAATACGGCTCCCTCGGCCTGAAGTGAGATGAGCGCCACAACCCCACAGTCACCATTGACATCCAGGGGTCCTTTACCTTTACTTTTTACCTCTTGAGCCTAGAATGTGGCTTGATATTTCAACGGTTACATACTCATGGCTCTGAGGCTTTTTGATGGCTCTGGTTCTTTAACCATCGCTAAAGAGGAAATTTGCATTTACCCATAATGCTAAGTCATAGTTAGCATTAACCAAGATTTATAAACCAACTACAAACCTTGGTTAATCTGCATTCTTTAACTGTATAGGTAAGCTGCAGGACCAGGTTTGGACCATAAAAATTAACTCTGGTTAATGAAATTATGCATTATAAACCAAGACTTAGCATAATATGTCTTCCTTCTCCACGTAGAAAGGAATGCCTCTTGTAATAGGGGAGCCAGTGCTGTAACTTTGTGCACATGAAATGTTAAAAGTAAACTACTGATTTCTTGTTAGTTTAAAGAGGTTAAATAGGTCTAGCGTCTCTATACGTTTTTGAAAACAGAAATGCGGCAACAACAAGAGGACACCAGTGTCAGGCAAACATAGGTCCAACTATCATGAAGAATAATTTTTCTGGCACAGTGGAATGAAGAATAATTATTGCGCTGGCTTCCTCTTCATTGTGTTATAGAAGACTATACGATCAGCTATGATTGCAATGTGATATTCCTGATGAAACCACACTCTGAGTATTTGTGCTTTGAGAAGCACACAAGATATTTCTCGGCCTGTTTCCATGGGAGATGGAAGCTGCTTTGATGGAAGTGTTGACAGTGTTGTCTGCAGCTCCTCACTGTCCTCTGTGGACTCATTTCATACTTTCTTTTGCAGAGATCCTGGCACATAGTCATGGGGGGGAAATCGTTCAGGCATTAAGATACTTTAACATTATTTCCCCCTACCACTCATTCTCAGTGATCAAGCCAGCCAAACCCACAATAATGTGAAGCTGCTTTTTAAAGGGCATATATCCCACTAGCATCACCTTGCCAACAAAGGTCCAGTATAGTTGAAGCTATGGTTTTCCCAGTAGTGATGTATGGAAGTGAGAGCTGGACCATGAAGAAGGCTGATCGCTGAAGAATTGATGCTTTTGAATTATGGTGCTGGAGGAGACTCTTGAGAGTTCCATGGACTGCAAGAAGATCAAACGCATCCATTCTTAAGGAAATTAGCTCACTGGAAGGACAGATCGTGAAGCTGAGGCTCCAATACTTTGGCCACCTCATGAGAAGAGAAGACTCCCTGGAAAAGAACCCGATGTTGGGAAAGATGGAGGGTACAAGGAGAAGGGGACGGCAGAGGACAAGATGGTGGGACAGTGTTCTCGAAGTGACCAGCATGAGTTTGACCAAACTGCGGGAGGCAGTGGAGGACAGAAGTGCCTGGCGTGCTCTGGTCCAGGGGGTCACGAAGAGTCAGACACGACTAAACAACAACAACAACTATCCCACCAGTGTCTATTTTGAATGACAGCAGCACCCCAAAGTCTCAGGCGATGAGAAGCTACTTAAGAATCTTTTGGGCCTGAGTTATTGGGAAGTGAATCTAGGAGCTTCTGTACGCATGATGTTTGCTCAGTCTGTGACCCTCTTGGTTAGAATCCTAAACTGTCCCCAGAACAGCTTGCCCCCTTCATCCACCCTTGAAGGATATCGTAGACAAGGCTTCATGGAAGTCTTACTATAATTAACTGAATTTTTTTCAAAGGTCTCCAGAGAGCATGTTGTTAGCCCCTGCTAATAAACTAAATTGCCATAAAGAACTGTAAAATTGCATCAACTTAGTTAAATGACCACCAACTGTGTAAGAATAAGAATGTTCTGTACTGGAACATTGTCCTGTCTTGGTTTTACAGTCATTTATGATTATTCTTATATTACTGACCTGCTGTTTTCCAATAAATTTTATGATTCTCTCCTTTCTTCAGTTGAGTTTTAGAAAACATAAATTAGTGATTCTTATAACTGTTACCTGTTAAATGCAGTTTGCATATGAAAAACAATGGTTCTCTTCCAAATGAATTAATGTCTTGATTGCTAGGACTGTGTGGGAAGTTTGACTATTAATATAATAAAGAGAGAGAGAGAGAGAGAGAAGTGAACAGGAAAAGGAAGTCTAATCAGTGATGTGATTTAATGTTTCTGGATTTGTAAATTACTGAACATTCTCCTGTGCTTTACATTTTCTTTATTTTGTAGATAACATCTACTATTCTAATTCTTGCTGACAATGTCAAAAATTTGTGTTTTACATTATGATTTTATGCTTGCATTATTTTTCGGGTTAATATGTTTCCAATATAACCCTTAGACATGTTTACATAAGCAGTCCTGACTTCCTTTTAAAGTAAATTATGGTTTTAAGATCAGGCCAAGTCCATGGACAGTTGCACTCCAGTCAAGACCTTGAACTTGAACATGTGTTCTCTATCTCATGTGCACTACTTTGTTGACCAGGCTGAGGGCCAGGGTAGAAGACAAAGAAGATTCCCTCCCATTTTGTCATTTATATTTCCTGTCAATTTCAGGGGGTGGTGTTACATATTCCTATTCCCTTCTGTGTTTGAAGAGGGCTCTGAGATAGTGTGGCGGCTATTCTTGTAACTGAGACTATGTAAGGTGAAAAGGAAACATGCAACATTTTTTCATCTATATGCGCAAACAAGCACTTAATTAAAAAACCACTCCTGGTCTTCTGATTACTGAATTGGATGGTTGTCACCTTTCTCCATTGGACTGATTGCTATCATTTGGACCCTTGGTTCCTTTCTCCCCCACCCCCCATAAGGGTCTCTTCTAGTTTTCCTAGTACTTGGTTTTCCTTTTTTGTGTAATTCATGATATTTTGGATATCATTGGTCTGTGGTTGTTGGGAAGCTCTGACATGTTTGTTTTTTTAAAGCTTCTCTTCAGCCTTGACATCAGCAAACCTTTCTGGGTAAACAGTTGGCATCCCCCCCCCCAATACTTTGTGCTATTGCAGCAATCTTTCTAGGTGAACAGTCCTGCACACATTTGTGCAGGTTCTTGCAAGGACCAACATGGCAGCTCTTAGCTAAGCATATAGAAGCAAGAACCACTGGGTCCCAAGCTCAAGAAGTGAGTTAGTTCCTCATTTACACCCTAGAGTCCCTGACAAATTGGATAGGAGTCTTTTTAAAAAAAAAAAATGAAGGCTCATATTCTATAAATACAAGGTGAGTCCTTTAAAAGAGGCCCTGTGGATACAGAGTACACATGTTAAAAGACTCACCCTGTATTATAACAACTAAAATGATCACAATTTGTTTGTTAATGTTGTGACACACTTCACCTTCAAGTCTAGTTTAAAAGAATAAATTTAGGCAAAAAGAAGAAACATATGGAAAGTGTTTTTCTTTCTTCACACTGATTCACTGACACATCTGGTATTTAGCAACATAGCACAGTATTCTGGAAGTTATTGCATAATATTGTGAAATGTTTGTAGATACAACATTGTGTAGCATCACTGAATACATGTGGCATCAAGCATCTTCTCTAAACACCCAGTGTGAAGCACCAGGAATTTCAGAGCAGGAGTTCTGATCCAAGAGATCCAAGTGCCTGTTTCTTGCTATGAGGATGACAGCTTGCCAGAAGAGGGACCTGTCTGTATGCAAGCGGCATAAAGAGCCACTTCTTGTTCCTCAGCTGACACAAAACTCAATGGAGCAATACAGCACTGGGGGCATGTTTCACCTTTGGAACGGTGAAACTTGGGGTGGCAATCTCTTCAGTTGGTTTTTCAGGTACGGTTGCATTCCAGTATTTAAAAACACACGGTTTCAACTGAGGTGATATCATCATGAAGTTAAGTGCCCTTGTCAAGAGTTGTGTGAGGAAGGGTGGGTATGTGGAAAGGAACAAAGGAAATCCTGTTGTGATGTCATGTCTCTCACATGGGGGTGGGAAATCCAGCATACGTCCGGCCCTGAGGTTCAGGTGTCCAGGTCACTTCATGGTGGTGCTTTTTTCCAGCCGGAGCGCAATTCTGACACCCCCTACACTTTTTAAAGACCTATGGCTCCACCTGACTCCTAGCTGTGATTGGTCAGGCTACAGGGTGGAGCCAATTCGTATTTCCTTTTCTTCAATCCATCTCCCATGTGGCAGTGGCAGGCTTTAAGCCTTCCAGCCAGGTGTTTGCGTGAGGGTCCTTCTGAGCTGCCCTAGCTCATCCGCCGGAATCTAAGAGAACAAGGGAGGCGAGGCTGCATTCACTTGACCCACCCCAGAACCAGGGGTGACCCCCAAACCAGCTAGGGAGACAGCTTGCCTTCCATATCAGGACTGGTTCAAGACATTGTGCTGCCTAAGGTGAAGACAACCTATTCCATCCCACATGCAGAAGGCTTGGCTGTGGGACTGTGTCCTCCACCCCTCCTGAGTGAAGTGAGCTAGTTTAAGGGAGGGGGTGGAGGGCAGGCCTTGAAGTGCCCACAAAGGGAAATGGCTAGTAGGCTCAGGGCTACTGCTACTGCCACTGCCTGGCTGCCTCACTCTGGCTAGTTATAGAATAGAATCATGAACTTGGAATCGACCCTGAGGGTCATCTAGTCCAACTCTCTGCAGTGCAGCAATCTCAACTGAAGCATCCCTGACAGATGGCAGTCCAAACTCTGCTTAAGAACCTCCGAGGAAAAGAGCCCACCATCTTCTTAGGGAATCCGTTGAAAGGTCTTCCTGATTTTAGTCAGAATAGGGCTGGCCCAGTTACATATTGTGCTGAGGCAGACTCTCATCCAGACATCTTAGATGGCCAGATATGTCTAATTTCATAATAAGTGTCGTAACTTCACACCATTCTCTGGACAAATTGTTCTTGCATAAAAGGAGGGCAGTCTTTCCTCAAGTCAAGGCAACCTCTTGTCCAAAAGAAGTGGAATAGGAAAATCTTCAAACTGTACACTTCTGATAGCTCAGCTGGTAGAGCATGAGCCTTTTAATCTCAGTGCCAGGAGTTCAAGCCCCACTTTGGGCAAAGACCTGCAGGGAGTTGGATGACGGGTCCTTCGTGATCCCTTCAGTCTCTAGAATTCTGCTATTCTGTGATTTCACAGGACACATTAGTGATCTGCGGGGCTCAAATTACAAGTGGGCCAGAGGGATCCCAGCCCATTTACCTTTGAGGCAGCCTCCTTAATTAGTGTACTGCTGGTCAGAGACTATAGGGGACATGATTTAGTTAAGATTAGGGGTGGAAGTCAATGTCAGTCCTACTCAAAGAATCATAGAATCATAGAGTTGGAAGAGACCACAAGGGCCATCGAGTCCAACCCCCTGCCAAGCAGGAAACACCATCAGAGCACTCCTGACATATGGTTGTCAAGCCTCTGCTTAAAGACCTCCAAAGAAGGAGACTCCACCACACTCCTTGGCAGAAAATTCCACTGTCGAACAGCTCTTACTGTCAGAAAGTTCTTCCTAATGTTTAGGTGGAATCTTCTTTCTTGTAGTTTGGATCCATTGCTCCGTGTCCGCTTCTCTGGAACAGCAGAAAACAACCTTTCTCCCTCCTCTATGTGACATCCTTTTATATATTTGAACATGGCTATCATATCACCCCTTAACCTCCTCTTTTCCAGGCTAAACATGCCCAGCTCCCTTAGCCGTTCCTCATAAGGCATCGTTTCCAGGCCTTTGACCATTTTGGTTGCCCTCCTCTGGACACGTTCCAGTTTGTCAGTGTCCTTCTTGAACTGTGGTGCCCAGAACTGGACACATTACTCCAGGTGAGGTCTGACCAGAGCAGAATACAGTGGCACTGAATAGACCCTTTAAAGTTAATGGACATAAGTAACTTTGAAACTAATGAATTTAAGAGTTTATTCACCACAGGACTTTGTGGAACATAGCCCTATTTAGCTTAGGGCTCATCCAAATGTTTGTCTCAGTTGAATTTTTCAGCATTCAGTCAGATCATATGAAGAGCAAAAACTCATCTAAAGATGAGTCTGGCCTCATCTAAAGATGAGATGTTCAGGTAGGGTGAGGGTAGCAAGTTCAAGTTGGTAGGATGAGTAGTATTTGGTGAGGTGACTGGGTAGACTTTGCCCAAATATGTTAAAGGCATGCTGCTGCACCCAGCAGATGGCTGCTATTCAGTTCGAAAACCTCTTGAGAATGAAGGTAGTCAACTCCCGATACAATGCAATCCTGTAGCAATATTCCCAGTGCTGTTTTCAAATAGATTTTTAAACTGACTAGTAGCCAGCTGCTGAGGAGAGTGGCTTGGCTCTGTTTAACGTTAATAAAAATAGAAGGAAATGGGAAGGTCACTCACTGTTTCCTGCTTGGCAGGGGGTTGGACTCGATGGCCCTTGTGGTCTCTTCCAACTCTATGATTCTATGACTTGCCTATTAAATAAGCAGGTATTCTTTCCACCCAAAAGTTTTTTGGTTTTCATGGGAATGCCATGAAAATTGCAGAAATTCTCACAAAATCTTCATTTGTGAACCAAGGTTCAGCAAGGAGGCAAGTGGGGTTGTGTATAGACTTAACTAAGTCCCATCTTGGCAACAGGTATCATTTTTGGGTCAAGTTGAATTTGGGCAGACACCAGTAAATGACATTCAGTAAATAGTCTTACACAAGCCAGCCGTGCTTCACTGACTGGCATGAATTTTAAACTGCTTACCTGGAGGATGAGCAAACTGTAGGGTATCTTGATTTAAGGTATGTTCCCGTAGCTCTGCAAGTCAGCTCAACGCAAAAATATGCTAACTGCATTTTTCGCCATCGTTGAGCAGGTAAAAGGGACGCTGCCTCCCACAAGTGAGTGGCACAACGAACTTTAAGGTCAGATCACAGCAGACAGTTAACAGCACACAGAAGTACAATTCTGCCTCTGGGCACATTCATTTGAAATGAAAGAGAAGATAGGTACATGGTGGCGGGCATGGTATAATTAATGAATCTGGAATGCTGCCATGTAGTCTGCATTAATACCTCTCCCCTTGTAAAAAGGACAACCACTTTTTTTTTAATTGCTCACTAAGAGCAAAAGTTTAGTTTTGTATTTTTGAACGAATGTGGTTAGATTTATATTAGAACTCTATTTCCTTCTGGTTGGAAGAAAGGCAGATTACATCTTGCTTAATAGAACTTGCATAATAGAAGAGCAAAGTGAATTATACAGTGGTACCTCGCAAGACGAATGCCTTGCAAGACGGAAAACTCGCAAAACGAAAGGGTTTTTGGTTTTTTGAGTTGCTTCGCAAGACGATTTTCCCTATGGGCTTGCTTCGCAAGACGGAAACGTCTTGCAAGTTTGTTTCCTTTTTCTTAAAACCGTTAATACAGTTGCGACTTGACTTCGAGGAGCAACTCATAGCATGCGGTGTGGTAGCCTTTTTTGAAGTTTTTGAAGACTTTGGTGATTTTTGAAGCTTTTCCAAAACTTTTTCGACACCGTGCTTCGCAAGACGAAAAAAACCGCAAGACGAAAAAACTCGCGGAACGAATTAATTTCGTCTTGCGAGGCACCACTGTAGAATCCTAGAATTGTAGATTTGGAAGGGCCCCTGAGGATCATCTAGTCCAACCCCCTGCAGTACCGGAATCTCAACTCAAGCATCATGACAGGTGTCCATCCAACCTCTGCTTAAAACCTCCTATAAAATCCTTCACCTTCTGAGGGAGCCCGTTCGACTGTCAGAAGTTGTTCCTGATGTTTAGTCAGCATCTCCCTTTTTGTAACTTGGTTTGAGTTCTACGCTCTGGAGCAGGAGAGAACAAACTTGCTCCATCTTCCATATTGAGATATTTGAAGATGGCTCTCCTATCTCCTCTCAGTCTCCTCGTTTCCAGGCTAACTAATTTTGTGTTATGCTACACTCTGACTGGCACCCACAATACTTCCTCAAAAAGTGAAATGGTCCTACTGGTCCAAAAAGGTTGGCCTTGCCTGCTCTAGATCTGTTTCAGTTCTGGTTGGGAGGGTGAATGTGTAAGACTGTTTGCTTATCCAAAACTATAGTTGGCACTGAAAGGGAAACGCTGTATCTTTAAAGGAGAACAAAGTATAAATATTATCAAGCTTCTATTAAGTCCAATATGTACTGTATTTTTCCATCTATAAGACGCCCCCATGTATAAGAGTCCTCCCTATTTGGGAGGACTCCGATTTAAGAAAATGGGGAGAGACGCGTCCTAATTTGTGACATTACTTTTTAGGGGGAAAACCTAGTCTTATACACGGAAAAATATGGTACTTACTGGGTGATAATCTCACAGAATTTAGCCAAGTAGATTTCCATAGGAATAGGCTGAAGAGCATCTTGGAATACATTTTAAAGAAAATAACTCATTTAAATATAGAGGTGTAATTTGGTATTGCAAATTATTTGAGAGATCAGTAGACTCCCTCTAGTAGGGTGAATTTTTAGCAAACTGACTTCATGAAATCTCCTCTTGTATACCTTGACCTAACCCAATTCTTCCAACAGGCATTGCAGCCTTGTTCTAATCTGGTAATTTTCCTTTCTTGCCCTAATTTTGAACAATGTTGCATTTCCCAATTAATTTCTCTTTCTTTTCTTATACAGCATTCTTTTAATATTTTGTTTTGTTTAAATACTGAGGTAGGGTGTGCTTGTTAGGCTTCCAGAAGGCAAAAAGGAGTCTGCAGCTATTGCAAAATCATATATTCCCAGCCTGGTTGTTGCAAAGGAAGAGAGGCAAAGAACACAGAAGGGCTGTAATATTTTCTTTATTTAAAATATATCTAGGCTGCCATTCCAGTACAGTAGTACCTTGGGTTAAGAACTTAATTCGTTCTGGAGGTCCGTTCTTAACCTGAAACTGTCTTAACCTGAGGTACCACTTTAGCTAATGGGGCCTCCCACTGCTGCTGCCGTGCGATTTCTGTTCTCATCCTGAAGCAAAGTTCTTAACCCAAAATACTATTTCTGGGTTAGCAGAGTCTGTAACCTGAAGCGTCTGTAACCTGAAGTGTCTGTAACCTGAGGTACCACTGTATATTCTTCCCAAGGTGGCGTGGGCGATCATAAATGAGAACCTTTTGAGGATTAGGTTTTTGTTTCGTTTTTTACAGAACTATTCTGCCACCAGCCTTCCCCTTCCCTATGAATTGCACAACCCTTTAACACTTTCTGTACTTAGTTCATACGTCGTTTTTTTCAGAGTTGCAAAATGCACACCATCCTGAAAGGCAGGTTGTATGTGGAGGGCCTGGACAGAGAGAAACTTGGCAACTTGCAGTGCTCACTGACAGAGACAGGAAAGTGAGACGACTGGCCCTTATCTGTGTTGTGCTTTGCTGCTTTGATCCATGGCATACCATAGAAGACACTGTGCTGAAGAGCTCAACACTTGAGCCATATACTGTTTTCTTTCTTGGACAGGGCAAACCTTCTTTGTTCACACATGCATCTCAGCATGCCTGGCCCTGCGTCTGGGTTTGGCTTTGCTCTAGGACACCAAGACCTAAAGAAAGGGCACCATTAATGAACAACAGTATCATTACTTTATGGCTTTTTATGTATTGTGGTATTTTATGTATTTTGCTGTTGCTTTATTTTACAATTTAAGTAACGGTTACTGCAATTGTTGAGAGTGAATTTCTGTCTAATATTTGCTGATAGGTTGACATTTTTTTCTTGTATATGATTATATTCTAATGGGTTATTAAATATTACTTTATTTGATAATGTTGTTTATTTTAAGTCATATATTGATTGTGATATTTGGATTGGATTATTATAAGATGTATGACCTTTGCTGTATATTATTGTTTCTTCAGCTTGTAAACTGCTTTGTATATAGCAAGATAGAAAAGGCGGTGTGCAAATTAAAAATGAAATGAAAACGAAACAATTAAGGGTGCAGCCTCAGTGTGTTCTGTGCTTTACAGAAACCCTTGTTTCGCACTCCCTGCCACTGGCCTCACCCTAAGCTCTGTGCGGGGGGCGGGGGGGCTGCCGGGTGTTCAGGATCTGCCCATGTGCTTCCCATTGGCATCTGGTTGACTCCTGGGAGAAGAGATTGCTAGTTGGCTTGATCCAGCAGGGCTCTTGTGATAGTAATCCTAGAATGGTAGAGTTGGAAGGGACCCCAAGGGTCATCTAGTCCAACCCTCTGCAATGCAGGAATCTCCACTAGATCATGGATGGAATGGCGGTTCCTACAAAATAAAAGCACAAAATACATTGATGTTCAACAGTGAAAGGGGCTCCTTTGGGAAGTTGTGGGCTCTCCTCAATAGCTGAGATTTCTGCATTGCAAGGGGCTGGACTGGATGGCCCTTGGGGACCCCTTCCCACCTCTGCAATCCTGTGACAAAGAAAACAAGAGCACAGACTGGAAAACAAACCAACCATTCCCATCATACCAGTTGCTCAGGCCGAGATCCAAGCGTGCGTTGCCAGGCCCCTTCCCGTTGGCTTGGCCTTGCCCAGAACTTACTCGGAAGTAAGTGTCCCACGTCCGCAGGCTGCTTCGGAGTAAGAGACGCGCTCTCCGCCGTTCGCCTGCCTCGGCGCGGGCCAGAGAGGGCGCCCCCGCCTCGCCGAAGGGCCTGGCCGGCTTTCCGGGGAGGAGCGAGCCATCTCGGCCGCTGTTCCGACCCCTCTTCCTCCGCCCAGGTAAGGCCAGGTGGAGCAGGTGGCCAGCCCGGCGCAGGTGGAGCCGCAGGCGCCCCGGAGGGAAGGCGGCCCCGGAGGAGGAGGCGGCGGCGGCGGCGCGGAGGGGCGCCTTGGGGCGAGGGACGCGGCCCCCTTTGGCCGAGCCAGAGCGACGGCGGCGCCGCCGCCACAGGTCGCCGCTGCCGCCTTTGTGCAGCCGCCCGCCGCCGTCTGCGGCAGGAAGGGAGGCGCGGCAGACGGGGACCCCGCCCAGCGGCGGCGGCGGCGGCGGCGAGCCCCCGCTGCCTGCCTGCCTTGCCTGCCTGGCTCCCCGGCGGGCGGCGGCGGAGCTCCGTCCGCGCAGGAGCGCCGGGCCGCCGGGAGCCGGAGTGCCGCTGGAGCGAAGGCGCGCCATGCTGCGGTTCCTGCGCAGGACCTTCGGCCGGCGGTCGATGCAGCGCTACGGGCGAGCAGCCGGCGAAGGAGACGAGCGCGACGGGGCGCCCCGGGCGGCCTCGGCCGGAGCCCCGGCGCCTCCGCACATCCAGGCGGCCGCGACGGGCGGCCGAGCGGCGCTGCAATGCCGGGTGCAGCTGCTCGACGGCACCGAGGTCAGCGTGGAGCTGCCGGTGAGTGGGGCCCGGGGAAGGCGGGCCGGGGCTGCGGGACCTCGGGGGACCCGCTCAGCTCTCCCATGCTAGGATCGCCCCCTCCCCAGGCTTGCCTTCCTTCCGCCACGTGAAATTGCAGTGTCTTTAAAACAGGGCACCGGTTGCCTTCCTTTGCTTTTTTTGTACCCCCGTGTATGCATTCAGACGTGCGGCTGGCGCCTTGGTCCCGGGGGCGCGTCGCTGGCTGCCAGCGGCCTCCTCCTGCCTCCCTCCCCGTGCGAGGCTTGCAAACAGGAGGGGGCGCGCCTGGGACCGACGGCTCCTCCCCTCGCCCTCCGACTCCCCGGCAGCTGCCTCCTTATCCCCGGAGGGATACCTGTTGCTCCCCCCGCGCGGCGTGTTTCCAGTTGCCCAGGTGGGGCCCGTTTCCAGGCCCCTTAGCCGACGGCGCGGGCGCCCTCCCCGTGTCCCCTCGGGTGAACAGCCGCCCGCAGCTGCATTTGGCAAACTTCCTCCTCCCACCCAAGGAGAGGCTCAGAGCCGCCTCTAGCTGGCGGGGGGGGGGGGGACAAACCTGTGGCGCTGCCTTGGGCGTGGCTAAGGGAGGCGGGGGGGGTAGCTGCCCCCCAGTCAATTAAAAAAAACAAAAATACATAGCAAACTGAGGTTCTGCGCTCCCCCCCCCAACAAAAGGCCTGCCCCTCCTAATAAACCCCCCGGCTGCGCCCATGGGAGCTGGTGCCTGTTTGTTTTTTCCTTGCCTTGCCTGAGGCAGGTGGGACCTGAGAGACCGGCCGCCTTTCTTTTTCATCTTTGACTTGACAGGCGCATTTCGTTGCCCACTTGGCACTAATGAATTCCTGGCACTGGTGAAATTCTGCTACAAGTTGTGGTCATGACCCTCTTCCCCTGGCAGCCAGACTTTATATGTGGGGAGGGGCAGAACCTCAGTTAAGTATTTTTATTGATTTACTTGATTTAATAGGGGGAAAGCTGCCCCCCCCTTCTCCCTTGGCTCCTCCCCTGTCCCCAGGGAAGAGAGTTTTCTGACCCTTGGATCAAGAGCCTTTTGAGTTTTCACAATACCAGTTCCTGGTTATTCCACCTGTGATTGGGCTGGCTCTAAGCAGATGACTGCCCTTTCCTAACTGTCTGCAGCTGCATTAGTGGGCTTCGCTTCTACCTATAGAAAGAATCCTTGCTGGGGATGAGTGTCAGGTGGGGGTTAGACAAACCCCCTCCCCTCCCCATGTCCAAAATTGTTGCTTCTGCTTCCTGCAGGTGTTCCTCCCCACACTCCCTGTTTTTATGCTTCTTGGGTTCCTTGTGAAATTGCCTTTACAATGTGTTGAATTTCTAAAGTGTTGGATATTGTTTTTAAAGAAACATGAGCAACTGTAGCTTTGAAAGTATGGAATTGGCCGGATAAGCTACTGTTTGCTCTCAGTAAAAATAAAATAAAATGCAAATCAGATATGATATGATTTTAAAGCAATATGGAAGGTAAGCAAGGTGAAACTTCTTTTAACCCCCCAAATCAACAGAATTCCATATGAATTTGTGTAGAGTCTGATTGTGTATTTTACTAATAATGACCTTGGAGTAAATATATGTGTGTGTGTTTAAGGTGGTTTGGACAGTGCTCAAATACACCAGATTACCAGTGTAATAGGTATTAGTCTTGCATGAAAATACACTCCAGAAATCATGTGAGAGATCTGTGTGTTTAATCTCCATACAGCAGGTCACTTATTTGTATATCAGAACAAGCAGGTGACCTGTTTGATGGAGATTTTAACACAAAGATCTCTCATATGATTTCTGAATGGTCTGTATATCCAGAAATACTATGATCAGAGCAGAAATACTATATGCTTAGATTCCTAGGCTGGTTATTTTAAATAGGTCTGCCATGATTAGTTCTGATACTCAGGAGGCAATATGTTCTTCTAAAGCAGGGCAAATGGTCCCAAAGGAGTGATTATGGGGCAGAGGGCCCAGAAATAATTTACTAGAGGGAATGTAAAACAGATGTATGGTTACACGCCCTCCAACGCTTCTCTGATGAAAGTAAGGTAAAGGTACCCCTGCCCGTACGGGCCAGTCTTGCCAGACTCTAGTGCGCGCATCTCACTCTAGAGGCCGGGAGCCAGCGCTGTCCGCAGACACTTCCGGGTCACGTGGCCAGCGTGACAAGCTGCATCTGGCGAGCCAGCGCAGCACACGGAACGCCATTTACCTTCCCGCTGGTAAGCGGTCCCTATTTATCTACTTGCACTCGGAGGTGCTTTCAAACTGCTAGGTTGGCAGGCGCTGGGACCGAATGACGGGAGCGCACCCTGCTGCGGGGATTCGAACCGCCGATCATGCGATCGGCAAGTCCTAGGCGCTGAGGTTTTACCCACAGCGCCACCCGCGTCCCTGATGAAAGTAGGAACGTCCTATTCCATAATAAAAATTTCCCCTATCTACTTTGTCCCCCCCCCCAATTTTTTTATTCAGTTTATAACACAACTAAACAACACAAACAGAAAAAACAAACAATACAAACAAATTCTTATCCTTATTTTTTCTAAACATTGTTAGGTGGGCTTCGCCAAGGGTTGATAGTCGTGTTCTTATCAGGTAGGGTTAGGTATTGAGCTTTGGTTGGGCCAAATGAATCAAGATAGGGTTACCATATTTCAAGAAGTAAATTCAGAAAACAAAAAGTTGTTGTGATTTTTTTTTTAGGAATCTCAGAGTTACTGAGCTTTTTTTAAGCAATCAACTTCAAAATCCCAGACATTTTGCAGATTTCCCAAATTCCCCCGGACACTATTTTCACTGCTTAAATCTTGGACCTGTCTAGGTAGTTCTGGACATATGGCAACACTAGAATCAGGGTGAGTTTGGACTCCCCCCCACTGCCAGGTTGAAGCACAATGTCTATACCCCCAAACATCTGGGCTCCCACAAAGCCTCATATTGCTCTGCCGCAGTTAATTTTGTTATTTTCTGTAATCTAAGCTTTCATACATATCACTGTGTTTCTCTCTCTCCACGGACATTGTAAGAACTGAGCCTTTTTTTTAAAAAAAGTTCAAGCTCTATTTCATTGTACTCTTTTTAACCAACACAAAACTCAGAACTCTTCAGAACTCCAGGCAACATCACAAGCATGTAATGCTGTAAGGCCTGTGAGACCTGTTGGAGGACACAATCAAGTGCTAGGAAGGAAAGCCAGTGGGATGCCGCAAAGTGTTTTTTAAAAATGTGCAGGCAAGAAAATACTCCTCAGCTGCCTCTTTATTATTTTTGAGTAAGAAAGAGTAAGTGACAAGTCCATGCCCCCACTCCAGATCATGGAGGAAAGTGAATCCCACTTACTTCTGCTGCAACCCCACCCAGACCTATTTGTCTGCAGTTTGGCAGGCGTAATCCATGCTATAACCAATGCAAGAAAGGGGGGGGGGCAGACAAAGGACCCCTTTCCCTGCCATGGATGGACCTTAGGGAAAGGGGGGGAGGGTGCAGGGGTTCCCTGGCTGTCCAAGAGACATGAGAGATGAGGGCCCTGGGTTCTGGAAGAATTGAGTTTAAGGGCATGAGGGGAAGGCCAGAGAGCGAGAAAGGACAGCCAAACCATTGCACATGAACCAGGAACTTCAGAGGTTGGCGAGGTTGAAGTTCATTGACTGATCTTTGAAATAAGCAGGCATCCTTGGCTTCAGGCCTTTGTTTTTAGATGAATTGCTCAAAATAGCCATTGATTTTATTTTTGCCCACTTTCTTGCATTTCATTTTACTGTGCAGCTATTTTTTTAAAATAAAAAAACCTATTATTTCCCTCTTCTCTGAAGTGCATAACCTCAAAAGGCTACTAGAAATTGTGCTTGCCTTTTAATGGAAAGGCAGTTTCCTCATCAGGCTTTTCAAGTCTTGATCTCATAATGCTTTCATGCTCTCTTCCTATGCTTTTAAGTCTTTACAGTGCACTTTTTCAAAAGGGCTCTCTCTTCTTTCTAAATGGAGTGATGCACTCTCTAGCCTCTTGAAGCTAGAACTCCTCAGGGTGTTCCACGCCGAACGACACAGATTCTGACACGAATGTCCGTTCATCTGTTGCTGTGGAGCGATTGCCTATGGCGAGGAGGGTGTAAATGTAGCCATTAGTTCCCGTTGACCTGATCCCATGTGATTCACTGTTTTAGAGAGTAGTGAGAAGTGAGAGGAGCACTTGGAACACAACCCTTCTCTCTGCCTCAGTGTCTGGGCCAGCTAAAAGCTTTCCGCTCTCTATCTCAAAAAATTAAAATTGCAAATCTGCCCCTTCCTCTAGCTATGAGAGAGGCCCGCAAACTCCGATGAGTATTGCACTCCAAGTCTGAAAAAATATTCAGGGAACTTGTTGAATCATCTTACTCCCAAACCCACAATTGTTTCCCTTAGTTTCAGGAGGAAAGCCTTTGTGACATCACCAGTCATGACAACACTTCCCACCTTCAGCTCAAGAGAAATGTTCATACCTAGCAACTAACACAGCAGAAGCAGGAGGAGGGAGGAGTTTTTGGTGTCTGCCTGTTAATTCTGTGAAGGGATTCCTCCCCCCCCCCCCAGGGCAAAGAAAATCTAATGTAGCCACTGCACTGGACTAAAGCTGAATGCAACAGAAAGTAAGTAAGGAAGTGAAATGTGGGGTGTGAGAAGGCAACCAACGATAAAGGCAGGATTCAGAATTGTAGAGTTGGGAGGGGTCCAACCCCCAGCATTGCAGGAACCAGGAATCTTTGAGGGACAGAATAAAGGTGGGTCAATGGCAGCTGCGCCTCGGATGTCGTCCCCAATGCACTGCATCCTCACAGCATTTGAGGAGCTTCACGTGAGTCTTTTGATGAAGAGCAGCTAACCACAAAGAAATCCTATTTTTAAAAAGTCATATAGATTGATACTACACAAGCTCGCTTCTCTGCTTCATTGTTATGATTTCTTTATAAAGATATGTCCACATATTCTTAAAACCCACATTTCTGTTAATGAATTAATTATATAGTATGATTTTGAAATACATCCCAACACCATCTTGCTATTTTGCTACTGAAAGAGCTGTTAGACAGTGGAACAGTCTCCCTGGAGGTTGTGGACTTTTCTTCACTGGAGGTTTGTAAGCAGAGGCTGGATGGTCACCTGTTGTGGGTGCTTTAGTTGAGATTCCTGCATTGCAGAGGATTGGACTAGATGATCCTTGGGGTCCCTTCCAACGCTACAATTCTATGATTCTAACTCATAATTGTGGCCAGCCCTGAGCTTGCACTATTCAGAGGTGTACTGCCTCCAAACAGAGATTTCATTTAGGTGTCATAGTTAATAGCTATTGATGCACTCCTTTTCCATGAGCTTCCTTTAATTCTTTTTAAAACCCATCTGACAATGTCTTCTTTCTTTTTTTAGAACAATTAGTGTAAGTCTGAAATAATTTCATTTTAAACAAGTGTTAGGAATGGCTCATCACTGGCAGTTAATACTTGAGTGTAGCTCATGAATGAAAATGTTGGCTCTCATCTTCATACTGCTTCTCTATTCTAGACTGGTCCTGGAAAACATGGTAATAATGCCTAGAACTTCGGTACACCATCCTGTAATCCTTGCACTAACTCTATAAGAAGTGGTCAGCCAGTGTCCTCTGGAAGCTGGTGGGTCTACTGAGAGTTTTATGGTGGGGTGGTGGCCAACTTTTGGTTTTCTCCCTATCTTTCTCTCTTGCATAGATACTTAAGTGGACACTTAAGCATTGCTGTTTTACGAATAGCACCAGGGTGGATTTGATTTAAATCAAATTGATTTAAATCACAATTTAAATCGCTAGTCAGTAAGACTTGATTTAAATCATTTTTATTTATTTTTTACAGAAAACTCATTCTTGCTGGTATAATCTTAATATTTACAACTAGATGAAGGTTTCATTTTTTGGAACAACAAATTTTCAGAGTAGTTTTTACAGTTACTGTATATAAAAAATTACTGATTTGGTTATACTATTAGAAATACATAGACAGATAATTATGAAATTATTGTGAGGTTTAATAAGTTAGCTGTTTATAGGGGCTATATTTCCCAGCAGCCCTGGCTTTGGAGAGGCTGGTCCTTCTTTTTCTAGAGGGGAGAGAGGGGAGGAGGAAAGATAAAGTTGGGAGACCTAGTCTGGAAGAGGCTTGCAGAAAGAGGAGGCCGAGGAGAAACAGGCTGGTGGAAAGCTGGAAAAGGGGAACCGAGGACTGGAGTGGAGAACTTCAGGGATTCCTGCTGCAGGACTGAAGTTCCCGGTAGAGGCTTTATTGTTTGGAGAATGTCAGGCCAGCCCCGGGAAGAAGGGCCTGGAACCAGTGAACTCTTCTTAGTTGACCTGCAAGCACTTCAAGGACTTACAGATCTCAGTTGTTATTTCCACACCCCGACCCCCGTTTGGATTTGCTTCTGCATTCAGGTGCCTATTCTGTACAGTTGGGTGTGAGTGCAGTTGTTGGAACCCAGTGGGATTGGGAAGAGGTTGCCAGCCCTGAAGAGCCTTCAGCAATTGCCTCAAGTCTGAGGTGCACACAAAGCATCCCTGCTGCCAGAATTGCATCTCTGCTGGGAGAAAAGTTGTCTTCTTTTCCACCTGTTTTGGCACTCTCCCTGTCCTCCTCTTTGCAAAGAAACAGTGGACATTTGAACATTGGCATTTTATACTTAGCAGTTTGAGCTGTTTGCAGATGTAGAAACAGCTCTGAGCATGCTCAGAACAGTCCGTGGGTCTACTCAAAAAGTAGACTAGTTCTTGTTATCTGGATTGAAATAGTGACAACAGTGAGGAGGGGAAATTACACATCCAGGACAAATAGCTAGTACTTCTGGTAAGATAAAAATTGGGTTTGGTGCTTAGAGACAGATGGGCAGATCATGACCCCTGGTCTGGGAATAGTTTTGGACTGAGATTAACTGAGTGGTGCAGAGAGCTCATTAGCCATAGAATGGGAGATTGACAGAAAAGTACCCAGGGCAGACTCTGCATTGAAATCAATTGTGGAATGAGGTGTGGGACAGGAAAGAGTGTGGCTTTGAGATTTGAGGACTTAAAAAAAAATTCTGGGCATTTCACTTGGTAAGGTGAGCCCTGGTTGTCCCAATGAATCAGCTTCCACCTCATTAGGTAAGAATTAGGATTTGAAATTTGCTAGGTGCAATTTTTCACCTGACTCTTGGCCCTTGTGACTGAGTGAAGATGCCTGGGCAATAGGATGGCACCTGACGTCTCTGCCATCTGGAGGTGCTTGCCTGGGGATTCTTGGATCTTGACTATTTTCAAACACTAGCAACACACCCTATAGAATTCTATCTGTGATATTTTATCTGCACAATCAGAAGGAATCACAGCACCAAAAAGTCGTATTGAAAAATATGACTTTTGAGCCAGCTGGCCCAAAAATGGCAACTAGGCATTCTGTTTTGGCGACTGTAACCCTGGTTTAAGGAGCCATTTTCACCTAGCTTATATATCTGAGTTTCTAACACTGATTACAGGGTTATGTGTGGCTTGAGGGCTTCGAAGAGGGTTTGCTTCAAGTTACTTAGTGAGTTCAAAGACGAGGTGAAATTTGAACCAGGTTCTCAGGATACTCTTTATTGGAGCAGCTGTAGTGTTGAGGGTAGCAAGCTTTTCTTTCAGTGGCTCTGAAATGCCCATTACCACATAATACTTTTTTTCTGTAGAGCTCTGTGTCCCTTATCAAACTTTTGAGTATACCAAATCAATTTGGTCTAGTGGAAACTCTCGCATGAACAAAATTGGATTGTGTCTGACAGTAGAATTAAATGCTTCATCTCCTTGAGTACCTGAGCTGCCAAAGGGAAAGTTTTGAATGTGTGCGTTGCCTTTCACCCTCATTACTGAGCTGGAACTGAATAGTTTGAAAGGCCTGGCGGGAGAAGCTCCTGGCAGGCCACGGTGCGTGTCTTGAGGGCTGCATTTGACATGTAGGTCACAAGCTGTGCTAATCCACCCCAAAGCTAATTTCAAAAATAAGGCTGGGGCTTTCCCCTCCTCAAACAACGTTATCCACCAAATCTACAAAAAATAACGCTTCACCATTTTTCACAGTTGCGGTCAATTAGGCAAATATGTTACTTAGAAAATATGCTTATTCCTATGATGTTTGGATTGCATGAAATGAGCAAAGTGGTTCTCCATTAAGGCTAGTAACCCACTGGTTCCATTTGCTGCTTTGGTGAAGATGCTTTTCTCCTTTCAGGCCTGGGAAGCTGCCTTTACCAGATCAGACTGTTTGTCCATCTTGCCGAGTGATGTAAACTCTGACTGAATTCCTCTTCAGGCTCTCAGATAGAAGTTCCCCCCAACACCTGTACTTTGCGTTGTTGTTGTTGCAGTTGCTGTTGTTGTTGTTTTGTCACCCTGCCTATCTGGCTGGGTTTTCCCAACGCTATGGGTGGCTTGCAGTGCATATAAAAACATAGTAAAATGTTGCGCATTAATAACTTCCCGATACAGGGTTGCCTTCAAATGTCTTCTAAAAGTTGTGTAGTTCTTTATTCCTCGACATCTGATGGGAGGGCATTGCAAAGAAGGGTGCCACTGCCGAGAAGGCCCTCTGCTTGGTTCCCTGTAACTTCACTTCTCACAGTGAGGGAACCGCCAGAAGACCCTCAGAGCTGGACCTCAGTGTCTAGGCTGAGCGATGGGGGTATATACTGGGCCAAGGCCATTGAGGGCTTTAAAGGTCAGTACCAACACATTGAATTGTGCTCAGAAATGTACTGGGAGCCAGTGAAGATCCTTTAGGACTGGTATTATAAGGTCCTGGTGGCTGCTCCCAGTCACCAGTCTAGCTGCTGCATTCTGGATTAGTTGTGGTTTCCGGGTCACCTTCAAAGGTAGCCCCACGTAGAGTGCATTACAGTAAGCCAAGCGGGAGATAACCAGAGCATGCACCACTCTGGCAAGACAGTCCGTGGGCAGGTAGAGTCTCAGCCTGAGTAGCAGATGTAGCTGGTAGACAGCTGCCCTGGACACAGAATTGACCTGTGCCTCATGGACAGCTGTGAGTCCAAAATGACTCCCAGGCTGTGCACTTGGTCCTTCAGGGGCACAGTTACCCCATTCAGGACCAGGGAGTCCTCCACACCTGCCCCCCCTGCCCCCCCAAAACAATACTTCAGTCTTGTCAGGATTCAAGCTCAATCTGTTAGGTGCCATCCATCCTCCAACCGCCTCCAGACACTCACACAGGACCTTTACCACCTTCACTGGTTCTGATTTAAAAGAGAGGTAGAGCTGGGTATCATCCGCATACCGATGAACACTCAGCCCAAACCTCCTGATGATCTCTCCCAGCAGCTGCATATAGATGTTAAAAAGCCTGGGGGAGAGGACGGAACCCTGAGGCACCCCACAAGTGAGAGCCCAGGGGTCTGAACACTCATCCCCCACCACCACTTTCTGGACACGGCCCAGGAAGAAGGAGCGGAACCACTGTTTCATGTAGATGATGAACTTTTCAGTCCAGGGTAGTAGTTTATTTTAAACTCATTTGCCCTACTACTTATAGCACCAGAGAATTTAATTTAAATTCTGTTGCTCTTTGGCTGCAGTCCTGACACTGCCTGCCTGCTTTTAAGCATACCAATAGCCTGCAAATTGCAACATTAGGTTAGCATTAGACTAGCTTCATGGACCTTCTAGAGCGCACTGTCAGGTTTAAATAAGTAAAGGACCCTTTTATTGTTCAGATTTCCTGATACTGCTTCTCTTGTCTCACAACAGCAAAGTGCATTTCAGAGAACAACTGCTTTTTTAAATCATAATGGCATTTCACTAGACTCTGGATAGTTTTATGTTGTAATGGGAAGATGACATCATAATGAAACATTGTTCATGTCGGAACCTTGAATCAACATTTTCAAGGAGTTAAAATCAAGGCTGTACCATCAGTTAAAGACATTTAGGTTGGTCATTTTACCATTTAATCAATTAGTTCGTTTAAATTTACATATGCATATTCATACCTCACTACTGTATAGACCTGCTTCTTAGATTTTGGAAGAAGTGCGAAGCTAATGTTAAATCTCACCATTTGCAATAAATGATGTACAATGCTTTCTTTTTTAATTCCCTATTACAGTAGCATCAGCACCAAAGTAGCTTCAAAAATAAAAAATGCATTTTACTGCAGCCCTACTAATTAAAATTTTGCCTCCCAACCAAATTAGTTATTTTGCAGCTTTAGTTCTTTAAAAATCCATTCAGTACAATTTCCAGGGCTACATATGTATAAGTGCGTTCAACATGTTGGAAGTATTTTCTGTAACATGTTTACAAACCATGAACTTTGCCCTCAGAGTTCAGTGAACCTTTTGCATTTCAGATATGAATAAACGTTGCAATTGCTTCCTCTTAAAATTAAAAAAAAAATGCTAAAATGAGGCAAGACAGCTTTCCGGGAGTCAGTGAAACTCAGCAGGCACTGTCAGGCTGCAGAAACTTGCTCATCTGTCATGGTTTTTGTTGCTGTTTGCAGTGTGTGGAATGTTTGCATGATTCAGGAAGTTGCCCTTCAGCATCCAGGACTTAGGTGTGCAAATAGAAAGCAAGTTACTTTCATTTTCTCTCCCTCAGGGTGTTGACAGGCGGCCTTTGTAAGAGGGCTATTTGAGGTGTGTGAAAGTTGGCAAATTTGGCTGAATTTTCAGGATCTTGTCAACAAACGTTTATCCTTATTTTTGCCATACTTGTTCCTTCCTCTTTTTTCATCCTAAAAGGCTTCTGCTGAGTATGTTAAAATCCTTAGGAGGTGCTTTGTAAGCAGGATCTTATTTTGTACCTTTTAAATTTGGTGACAGGTGCTTCCTAGTTTTTTGCTGCCCTAATTTTTTATGTGTGAAGTGAGTCCTTTAGAATTTGCTAAATATATAATGCAGTTTACTGAATACAAGCATGGGATGTAAGTGCCCTGCCACTGAAACACAGTTTGGGACCTGAAAACTTGCTAACTATTTTGCAATTACTTTGGTTGATTCTAATACATAGTTTGTCCAACTATGGATCATGGTATTTTCCTATGGACAACTTTCTTAGTTTTTATATATTTGGTCAGTACCTGTTTTCATTTAATATCTCATAATTAGCTGACTTTGGCTGAGTGTTTTCACTGAGGCGCCAACTGCATTGGGATGGTTGCTTGCTTTGGCAGTCAGAGTGAAGAAAAAGGGGTGTTTCTGCCCCAAAAGTGTGCTGTTACTTGCAGGAACATTATTGGCTGACTAACCTCAGGGCCTGCAATGTGAAGAAACTGCCTCGGGTGGCAGGATCCACAGGAGCAGCAGATCCAGCTTCCAAGGAATGCATTGGCTGTTGCTGCTGCCACTGCCATGAGAAAAGCAGGGGCCTGTGGCACAGTCCTCGGAGGATGGGGCCTCCACAGCCCTGCCAATGCTGCTTCTATTCTGGGTGAATAGGAGGTGCTGCTGGTCTCCTCCCACCCCCAGGAAGCAAGTGGCGGGCCGGGCTGCTCTCTGGGGTCTGCTGGGCTCTGCACCCCCCCAGCGTGATGCAGAGCAGATCCTTCCTTCCGCCCGACAGCCTTTGATCCCCATTTCAACCATCAGGTTAGGTTGGTTTCATTCCTGCCTTGTTCCCGATGTAGATCTCCATTCCCCGCTTCTTCCCTGACGGGTGTTGGTGCCATTTTGTGGCTTGCCTCAGGTGCCAAAATGTCTCTCCCTTACTAACTTTGTATCTTAAGCTTATAGTTGTGGCAAGAAACAAAATTCTGACGCTGGACTCCCTTCCCTTTTAAGAGGGGGTGTATGGCGGCCTTATAAGGATACTTCTCTGTGGAACCCTTAACAAGAAGGCAGTGCAACAGGAGCTGCCTAGAGAGAGTCCAGGGTGAAATTCAGTGTTTCCTCCTCTGGTTTGAAATGAGATTACAGATTTTTATTGCATGTGTTGATTAGGCAACCAGTGCCAGGATGTTTTGGGTTAATTCGCAGCGTTGCCTTGTTACCAATGACCGCTGTTAACTATTTTGCTTTCATATAATTATTAATATCTGTACAATATCTGTAGTTCTCAAATCCTTGGGTGAGAATCAGACAAAGTTTTGTTATTTGTAACAAAGCCACTTGGTATAAAATTAAGTGAAAAACAAGGTCTCATTCTCTGATCAATATTCTTAAAGGATAATGCTTGTTATAATGGAGTTGGCATTTGAGCCATATGTTTGTTTGTTTTTTTAACTGGTCAGTTTTAATGCTATCAGATCCAGGCAGGTAAGAAAGCAACATATAAATGAACAACTTCCAAGGGGAAAGTTAACATTTTTTCCTTTTTCTGTTTCTTACTGGAATTCATGTAATGTTAAGTCGCTCCACAATGAGCATATATGCTGTGGGCTACCAGAAGGAAGGCTGTGGGCTCTTTGCTCCTTCCTGGTCCTGCTGCTGCTTTGCGGGGCCACAGTTTGGCTTAGCATGTCGTCTAAGCTCAGCCTCATGGTTTAGCTTTCTTCCAGACAAACCACAAGGTGTCACCAAGGTTTGTCCTGTGGTTTGTTTGGGGGACAGCACACCACAAGGCTGGGCTCAGATGACACATTAAGCTAAACAGCAGCTGAGTTCAGTGCAGTGCTGCAGCAAGAGAGCCAGAGAGAGAGAATTTCCTCTCTGGAAACCCATTCATTTGCATCGACTAAGCCGTCATTTGGCTTAGCTTTAATTGTTACCTAATTCATACATGCACGTGACACCATTCCTGTATCAGTTTTATTAATATTTTGATGGTGTATTTTCATGTAGCATACGGACTCGGTTTACTATTTTTTTGGCAAGATTTTGACAGTGTATATCTTATTTTTAATGGCTTTGCTGTACATGACTCATGCAACAAGGTGATCTAAATAATTGTATATTCACACTGAAGGCTTTTACTGTGTATGTTTTGGAATGTAATACGGAAACTATACTTTGACTTCAACTCCTTTCTGTATGGAACCTTGCGCAAGGTTAGAGGATGATGTTCTCCAGCCCTGTGCACTGATGAAACAATATTTTGAATCAATAGACTAGTAATCCCTTGCAGATGATGTAGTTACTAACCTATGGCATATCATTGTTTTCTTAGAAAGAATAGAACAGTCATTCTACCACTTAAGACGTAGGTCATTGTTATGCTTCTTTTCCATCTTTTCGAGGGACCTCCAGCTTCTGCCAAATTAATGTTCTCTCTGTCAGTGCTGCCAAGACTCTTGAAGAGCTTCTGTTGTCCAACAGTAGGAACAATCGGGGGTTGGAGAAGGCTTTCTCGGGGGAACCAGCCATCCCTTCTGGGTTCCAGCAGGATCTAGTGAGAGGGGTGCATGCCCTCAGAGGTGCCCCTTGGATTCCACTGCCTTAGGGCTTGTGCATGACCAGAAGGAGACTCTGAGCTCTTTGGCCAGGCTCCACTAGGGGCGGGAAAGCTCCTGTCCCCAACAGAGCCAGCCCTGATTTCCCTGCTGCTTGTGCTTGCGCAGCCAGGACCTTGGGGCTCCTTGGCCAGACTCCCTCCGCGTTCGCTGATGTGGGGGGTGGGCGAGCTACCTTGTCCACTTGCCTCCCACTCCCCGATGACGGACCAGGCGGCAGTTTCCAAGCACACAGAGCCTGACAGGCTCTGTGCATTTGACTGCCTTAGCCTTCGCCTGTGTGGGTGTGCTGCCTCTTTCCTGGGGAGGGGGGTTCATTCACCCCAGAAGGAAAGACACAGCCCACCCTCCTGGGCGAAGGCGCCTTGTAGAGAGGGGCTGCTGGAGGCTGCTAGTGAGCGCTAGACCACCTGGCTGCCTTCCACCGAGAGGGTGGGCTCCAAGCAAGGCTGCAACCCCAATCCCACTCCTACTCATGTGCAAGCAGGAGCGGGTTTGGGGCTATCTCAGCTGGGAAGGGGGACTAGTTTAATGAAGCTGCTGGCTTGTGGAGGGTCGGGGGCTCTGAAAAACTGCTTGTTTCTCCCTCTGCCTGTCAGGAACTGGGCAGAGGAGGAATGTTGGAGACTGCCTCCTCAGGAGAAGGAAGAGGAAGAGGAAGAGGAAGACAGTTTAGATTACACTCAGCACTGGTGCTGGCCTGGGACAAGGCACCGCCAGGCATCCTCCCCTTGCCCTGGCAGGATGCGGCAAGCAGGGCAGAGGGCGCCCGAAAGGGCGACGATGGGAAGCTTTGAATTCTCAGGCGGCGTGAGCAGGGTGGGGGAGTGGGGCTGTTTTACCCTTGCCCTGACAGTTACAACCGCCTGCAAGTGGCGCTCAAATTGGAGCATGTTTGGCTTCCCAAAAAAGTTTGCAAACTGGAACACTTACCTCCGGGTTTGCGGCTTCGGGTTCCAAGTTGTTTGACGACTAAGCTGTTCGAGGACCAAGGTACCACTGTAATGGGAGAGGAGGAGCAGGCAGAGTCAGAGCAGCAACTGGTTGACATGTTGTCACTAGAAAGCATTCCAGACCCTCCATCTCCCAGAACCTGGCGAGTCTTGAAAGTAGGAGAGCAAAGAGCTCAAAGACAGAGGGCACTTAGCAGCACCCGTAGAGGAGATGATGGTGATGAATGAAGAAGTGGGAGAGAAGGGGGTGGAGATTCATTCGGGACAACGCCATTATCCAAGAGGTTGGGTTCTATAGCCTCTCTGTAAAGACTGAAATAAAAAAGAACTGTAAGAAACTTTGCCTTGCCTTTCTACTTTCCTGGGCAACCAGCTGGGAGCCGCTGACAGCAGCCTGACACAGCCAGGGCAGAGTGTGATATACCGCTGGTGAAACCGTCCCTGCTTGAGTCCCTCTGCCTCCAGCTCCTGGCTAGTTTGTTTGTCCTTCGGTGTGCTGGGCGCTGGAGACAGAGGGACTCAAGCAGGGATGGTTTCACCAGAGATATACCGCTGAGTGAAGCTGAAGCTGCCATCGCAGTCTCCCCCATACTGGTTCTGGGAAATATATTGCCCTGGCCAGTTGTAGCATCATTCCACATCGTTGTATTTTTGTGGCAGGCTATACAGTGGTACCTCAGGTTACATACGCTTCAGGTTACAGACTCCGCTAACCCAGAAATATTACCTCGGGATAAGAACTTTGCTTCAGGATGAGAACAGAAATTGTGCTCCAGAGGCTCAGCAGCAGCAGGAGGCCCCATTAGCTAAAGTGGTACTTCAGGTTAAGAACAGTTTCAGGTTAAGAACGGACCTCCGGAGCGAATTAAGTTCTTAACCTGAGGTACCACCTTATAAAGTTTCTACTTTTTAGCCCTGTGAACTTGATTATTTGTGGCCCACTCTGCTTATTGCGATGTTTTTGATCCCTGAGTTTGCCGTGAGTGAAAAGTTACCCCGGCTGGCACAATTGCTGGTGTTTGGGAGGCAAGCAGTTACCACATAGGGTGGTAACATATCTGTGATATGTTTTTTGCCTAATTTTGAGGCATTGCAGCAAGAAAGGGTGTGTGACCACTGGGCTCTGAGCTGCAGATTACAAATACTGTTAACAGCTTTCTCCAACTCCTCTAGTTATATGCAGTGTTTGTTTGCTTTTTACTTATTTATATATACATTTCTGTCATACCCTTTTAGTGGCTGTGCATCACTCAAGGCAGCTTATGACAACTTAGAATCACATAAGAGCATAAGGATCAGGCCGGTAGCCCATCTAGTCGAGCATCTTGCCATGACACTCGCCAGCCTGTTGGAAGCCAGTGCGCAAAACCCAAGTGCAAGAATGCTCTGCTCTCCTGCATTTCCAGAAACTGGGACTGAGAAGCATTTCTGCCTCCAGCCATAGATATAAATTCACATAGAAATAATTAAGATAAAATAATGAAATACACTGCCCCCCCCCAAATAATTAATTGGGTTTCTTCACCATTATGTCACTTGAAAAATGACTTGTGGCATATACATAACCTTGGCTATCTGTTTATCCAGTCCTTGCGCTTATGTTCTGTGTTTGTGCCAAGATAAATAAAGATTCTTTCATTCTATACTCTGCATTTTGCTGTCAGAAGTTAGTATAACACTGATTTGTATGTTGAGCAGTGAAGTGGAGATAGTAGCTTTGAATGTAACCAAAATATTTAACAGCAATGAATTTTGTGGGGATTTGTAAGTACATGAGTATTTTCCCTACCAACCCCCCCCCCCACAAAAATCCACTGTATGTTTTATAACATTTTTCCTGTGAAGAAAAGGCATGTTATCTCTGCAGACACAAATTCACACGTTTAAGAACTGCAAAAACAAGCATCTGTGATAATATCTTCTCATTAGAGAAACTGCCCCAAATAATCTTACAGAAACCTCTGGAAGAGCATGACATTGTGAATGGATTAATGGAATTCGTTTACCAAAAAATCTAAACATTGCATATAAAGCCTCATGCTACATAATTAAAAACAAATACTTATTTCCTGATGAATAGCCTTTGGACTGTAATGTAACTGAAATGGAAAACTATCTTTAGAAAGATTTTTCCTCCAAAAGCATTTTATTTTTTTAAAAATCTGGTTTAAATTTAAAAAAAAAGATTTTATATATATATATATATATATATATATATATATATATATATATATATCTCATTGATTTTTATCCACCCTGGTTCAATCATGGTTTCTAAGGTCACGACATAACACTACAAGTCATGACTAGGAAGGTCAAAACATGGTTTGTGGCCAATTCTTGACCATCGTTTAGGCATTCCAAGATCTTCAGGGGGGGAAATAAGGAAGCCAATATATATATACGTCAGGACTGACTTTTTCTTTCTGGTGCATTTAACTGCATGTTCTTTGGGCACTCTTAGAACTGGAATCTAGACCTTCAACTCTGCATTCTGCTTGAGGGCCAAAGAACTTGCTTTAGGTGGTTGTTGTTGCTCCAATGTCATTCCTTCTGAATATGTGCATTTGTAAATATAATTTTTGGAATATGTTTCAATTTATAGTTCACCCTGTCCAGAAGTTGCTGTCCAGACTGAACAGTGCCTTTTCCTTACTCATCCTTGCAAACTTTTTAAATGGCAGCATAGTTTTAATGATAAGAAACGGCGGCTGTAATACAATGATTTGCTAGAGTTGATGCCTGAACTTAATTTGAATCCTTATCTCCTATGTCTGAGTCTGTACAGGCTGTCTTGATTTCTCTCATAAAGATTAGGAAGATTTATTTTGACTTAAAAATGCTTTCTGAAGTTATTTTCAGACAAATTCTTTTTCTGAATTAGTTGTATAAAGGGTGACATACTTACTTCTCTCCTAAATCTTCTAATCTTCAGTAATCAGAGGAGGACCATCTGGTTGTGAGATGAGACCTTGCATCCAAGACCTTTAAGTTGTTGTAACAAGATACATCTGCCTTGAAGCAAATATTAAAAGGGTTTCTCTTAAAAAAATAACCAGAACAACTGCCTGAAGATTACCACATACCTTCCAAATTCCTCATTTTGATTTTGGCATCGTTTAAAAATGCTGCATTTGTTTGTGAGGGACATGTCACCTATCCTTTTTTTAAGTGTTCTTTTTCTTATGATTCAAATCCTTGTCCACATTCCTATTTATACAGTAGAATTATGTAAGTCTGCTTAGCGACAAGGCATCTATACCTGCAGTTATACTAAGATTTCAAGTAAGTGATCTTGCCCACGTAGGTAGGTATAGCAGGAGTGGCGAGCCTCCAGTTTGGGGTCCTGATCCACACACCCCGGCATTTTTTTCTGGCCTTCCAAGACACTCCCACCCCAATTTTGGTGGCAGTGGCAGAAACAAAAATAAAGTTCACACACGGCAGCACTGGGGCGATAAAGCTCAGTGCCCTGATTGGGATGCCAATCACCCCTTCCTCACCCCTCACTTGGATCATTTGAAGAGTGGAGATGGGGCAATGCGCCCCTGCTCTGATCTGCAGAGGTTGGCTGAGGAGAGGGGACTGTGTGTGTGTGTGCATGAGAGTGCATGAGAGAGTGTGAGGTGGTCACAGCCACTTTCGCCCACAGCCACTACTGGCATGCAGCAGCTAATAAGGGTGACTGCAGCCCTCGGACCATAAAACGTTGGCCACCCATGAGGCGTAGGATCGCAGCCTGATTTGAAAACAAGTCCACTGAACAGAGTGGAACTGCGGAGTAACAATGCACAAGTTTGGGTCGTACCAAGTGTCCAGTACTTCCCAGAGGCAAATAAAGGGAGTTACTGGGGAAAATACTCAGAACTGATCAGAGAGTTCAGGCATTTCAACAAAAAATAGGAGTACAACAGGATTGAGGTGTTTTAACTCTTGTCAGGGCCGTTGACTCATATATAGGAGATATAAAAGCCATTATCCGGACTGGAAGCAAGTGGAACCAGAGTCTGCATTATATGGGGCGTGGGGGGCATGTTGGTATTTTATTTTTTTTTAATGATATTTATTAAAGTTTCAAAAAAGGTTACAAAAATAGAAAAAAGAAAAAAAGAAAAGAAAAAATACAAAATACCAAAAAAATAAAAATAATAACACTTCTTTCATTTACTTGTTTCCCTGACCTCCTCACACCTCCCTTTTTTGTATTCCAGTTCAGTTAGCTAATTCAGCAAATCCTTTCCCTCTTTGTTTTTATCCTAATCCTTTAACTTAATATATTGTAACTTTAAATTCTCACCTATTAACAATCCATTTTTACGCACTCCTTTGTAACATTGCTGCTAAAACCACTTAACTTCATTCCGACATCATTCTAACATTCATTAATTTTGCAGTATTTCTGTAAATAGTCTTTAAATTTCTTCCAATCTTCTTCCACCGACTCTTCTCCCTGGTCTCGGATTCTGCCAGTCATTTCCGCCAGTTCCATGTAGTCCATCACCTTCATCTGCCATTCTTCCAGAGTGGGTAGATCTTGTGTCTTCCAGTACTTTGCAATAAGTATTCTTGCTGCTGATGTAGCATACATAAAGAAAGTTCTATCCTTCTTTGGCACCAATTGGCCAACCATGCCCAGGAGAAAGGCCTCTGGTTTCTTAAGAAAGGTATATTTAAATACCTTTTTCATTTCATTATAGATCATCTCCCAGAAAGCCTTAATCCTTGGGCACGTCCACCAAAGGTGAAAGAATGTACCTTCAGTTTCTTTACATTTCCAACATTTATTATCGGGCAAATGATAGATTTTTGCAAGCTTGACTGGGGTCATGTACCACCTGTATATCATTTTCATAATATTCTCTCTTAAGGCATTACATGCCGTAAACTTCATACCTGTGGTCCATAACTGTTCCCAGTCAGCCATCATTATGTTATGTCCAACATCTTGTGCCCATTTAATCATAGCAGATTTCACCGTTTCATCCTGAGTATTCCATTTCAACAGCAAGTTATACATCTTTGACAAAATCTTGGTTTTGGGTTCTAACAGTTCTGTTTCCAATTTTGATTTTTCCACCTGGAAGCCAATTTTCTTGTCCAAATTATATGCCTCCATTATCTGATAATAATGAAGCCAATCTCGCACTTTATTTTTTAGTTTTTCAAAACTCTGCAATTTCAATCTGTCTCCCTCTTGTTCCAAAATTTCCCAATATTTCGGCCATTTGGCCTCCATATTGAGCTTTTTCTGAGCCTTCGCTTCCATCAGTGACAACCACCTTGGGGTTTTATTTTCAAGTAGATCCTTGTATCTTATCCAGACATTAAACAATGCTTTCCTGACAATATGATTTTTAAATGCTTTATGTGCTTTGACCTTATCATACCATAAATATGCATGCCATCCAAATACATTATTAAAGCCTTCTAAATCCAAAATGTCTGTGTTTTCAAGAAGCAGCCATTCTTTCAGCCAGCAAAAAGCTGCTGATTCATAATAGAGTTTAAGGTCTGGCAGGGCAAATCCGCCTCTTTCCTTTGCATCCGTTAGTATTTTAAATTTTATTCTAGGCTTCTTGCAAGAAGCAAGAAGGCATGTTGGTATGTTGTAAGGATATATACACCCTTTGGTTGAGAACAAAACCAACCAAAAGTTTATTTGGAATTATAATTGCCTTTTTCTTTTCTTTTCTTTTCTACTTCTTTGCAATATTCTTCACACATGTAATAGAAGGTATTCCAGATTAGTCCAATGTGAGTTTTCCAAGCTGGGACAAGTCAATTCAGTGATTTGACTGAAAGCAGTGTAAGATACCTGCTTGCTTGCTGTGAAATCTGCCATTTTGCATTTTTGGGAGCTCACAAGGTTTGTGGATTCTGATGAATTTATCACATCTTTGTTTGCATTGATGTATAAGCTAGTTTCAGTGGAGGAACAAAATGTTCCCATGCAAGGATGGGTAAGAGAAACAGGTTCGGGAATTGGAAGAACAGGATATATGCCGTTGGCTAATAACAGCTTGACAGTTGGGAAAGTGTTATGGAGATCACTTCAGGTGGCAGATTTATATGTGGGATTTGTTCTCCTGCTTCCAGGCTAACATGCAGTGATATGAAAGCTGTAAATGTTTTTGTGAAAGCATTTAGCTCAAGAAGTAAATTCTGATACTTCCACACAGCACTTGCTAAAAAAGAGCCTTTAGTAAGCCCTTATTTTGAAGATAGCTAAAACTCTGCCGTTCATCATTTTTATATCTCTTAATGTAATTAGTTCAACTTCCTGACTTCTTTGATAAGGCGGTTGTGACAGAAGGCGCCCTGCCCACACCTGGCAGAATGGTTCTTGGGCAGCCTTGGAGATGAATGATGTCGCTTCCAAGCTTCTGCTGTCAGTGCTGGAGACTCCTTGCTTTGAGTTGCTGCTTGCAGCCCAAATAATTTAATCCCTGCATTAGCAACATCATTCCCAGAAATCCATGTAACAAACACATCAAAACTTATTTTAGGAAGAGGCAAACTCTTGTTTTGGCTTCAGCAACCTGCCTCTGTGGGCTGACAGTTTGGCTTCAGAAGACACGGAACATCTCCCCAAAGAAGCCAGAGGTGATCTGCATCAGAATATTTCTGCTGCATTCCTAGCTGGCCCTTAGATCCGATTCAGTTCTTGACCTGAGCCCGGCTCATGGATGCCAGAAGCAGCACACAGCCGCCCAGTTGGATGCAGAGCCTGTCTCCCCAAATTGCCTTGCTTGTGATTCGTTCTCGGGTTCCAAGCTGTTTGGTGAGCCCCCACAGTGCAGTTTGGCGTGCGGTGAATAGATGACATGGTTGCTTAGCTATGCATCCAGCTTGTGGCCCAGCGGCTGCATTTTAGCATGTTTGGGCTGTTGCAAGCTAGATTAGCAATTGCACAACCTCTTTATTTATTTACAGTACTAAAGTCTGTTCATATCAGCATTTCTCCATGTCAGAATAACTACATGAATTTAAGGCAAGGTGTATTTTTAATAAGCTCATTTCCTTCAAAACCTACTTCGTTGTCGCACACAATATTTGCTTTTCATTGCTGCTACAAGAAAAAGGTTTAACAAGTGTTAAGAAATTGCATAATAATACCCAGGGCTCCTTTATAACCATGTGAACAAAGTGTTCAATTTGGGGCCTGCTGGCTGAGAGGTTAAACCGTGTAATCTTGGCACAAAAACAGTAGTCAAAGACTGGGCTAAACTGATATTACCTTAGTGATATTTGGTTTTAACCAGATGGAATGTTAAGCATTAACACATGAAAGGATTACGTTGATGTTGGAAATGCAGCTGATGACAGTTGCGTACAAAAGAGGCAATTCACTAAATTCTTTGTACTGCTGTGCCTATTTTTGTAAAAGAGAGTCAATCCGGCATAAATGGCAGGTTATAGCCCCCACCCCAATGCATGGGCCTGTTCTAATCACCTGAACTCTTGTAGCCTTTCTGTATTATAAGCTAACAAAACTTTGGGACAAGTAAGTAGAGCGAAACTCTGAAGTGGGAAGACTCCAGGTGATGGAGAGGACTGCATGTGTGGGATCCCTGCTCTCCTCAGTGGGAGACTATTGCTGCTGCTGCTACTACTGCTAAAAATACAGTTTTTATTTATTTTCATGGTACAGAAGATAAATTTTGAGAAAACAATTGTTACAACAGTAAACAACAAATTACCGGTACTTGTCCTGATGAAATTACAGACTTCTGTCATGCCATGTGTTAAAGTTTCATTTGATTACTCTAAGAGATCATGCCACATTTTCCCATAAGTGCTGGGTGGATTCCTGCCACTGCCTGAATAATTTATGTATTCAATAAACATTTGCCATATAAGAGGAATATGGATCGTGTTTGCCCTTTGCTGCTCTCACCCGGCATGTTAGTTTCTCAGCCAGTGCTATTGACTGTACTCTTGTTATACCAACACCAGTTTTCCAACATCTGGCTGTCTCTGTATGAGCAGCAGTCATTAGAAAGGCTAAGAGGTCATCTTTAGGATAATCAGGAGCAGGCAGGATCCTAAGCCCTAGTGCTAGTGCAGGGGACATTTCTATGGTTTTCTTGTATATTCAGCTTATTTCTTTGAAGGGTTTGATGATGTCTCAACACCACCACATATGGAAATATGTACCTTTGACTGCACATCCCCTCCAACAATTGGGATTGACTTCCTTGCATATTCGGGACAGTCTCACCGGTGTATAATGCCACTATGCAGAAGTTTTAATGAGGCTTCCCTTATTTTTGCAGAAACTATTTGCACATCTAGGTCCATTTCCCATGGCATTTTTGTGAACAATATTGCCAAATTCCAGTGTTATTAGAGCTTTGTAAATTGAGGAAGCTATGAGTGGAGAGAAGTTAAAAAAGATGTGCTCCATTGCTGTTAGTTTCCTGTTTGCTTGAGTGGAAATGTCTGGGTTTAACGGGAATCTTCACAGCTGGTTGAAATGGTACCATGACCATTTAAGGTTTCGTATGGCAGCTATGAATTGTTCCTTTCATAGTGGGATACTGTTTGCATAAAAATCTTTTAATCTGTAAAGGCCCACCTGTTCCCAACCATTCCAATCTAAGTATTGTCCTGTTTCTTTAAAAGATGGGTGAAAGCAAAGAGGGATAAGGGGAGATAGTGGGGGAGCCAGTTTTTTAAATGTTGCTTTCCACACATGAGGTGCAGAGGACAGGGTACGCAATCGTATGGGTTTTAGTGAGTGAGGAGAGTAGAAAGGGATAGGCTCTATATACTGGATCTGAAATGTCTATATTTATACACTGTTTACTTTTTTGCCCGTGGTTCAGTGACATCAAATGCTTTAGCTGGAAGGCATTGTAATAAGTTTGAATATGTGGGATTCTGAGCCCACCATTTTGGACCCTTCTATATATAATTCTGGAGCCTAGTCGTGCTTTCCCCCCATCTTGAATAAACTTGTTTATTGAGCACTGCCAAATTTTAAATTGTTTGGGTGTAATCATAATCAGCAGCACTTGAAAGAAAAACGAATTTTTCAGCAGGATAGCCATCTTTACTGCAGCTATGCTTCCCGACCATGATAAACGTAGGTCTTTCCAGTATTCAAGACTTTCTCATACTTGTAGGAATACTGGTGTGAAGTTTGCTTTCCTTAGAGCTGATTTTTAGTTATCTGCATTCCCAAATATTTTATTACCGTGTGGCAGGTTTTAAAACCTGTCTGATTTTGAATGGTGAAGGAATGCCTATATACATAAGTTCTGATTTGGATTTGTTGATTTTTAATCCAGCCACTTCACCATAATTGCCTAGTTCTTTCATTAATACAGGCATTGCATCTTTTGGGTTAGAAAACATTATTTTTGCTATATCATCTGCAAAAAGGCTTATTTTATGCACTAATTTTTTAATTTCTACTCCTTTTATCTCCAAATTGTTTCTAATGGAGAGGTCCAGTGGTTCAATTGAGAGGGCAAACAAGAGGGGTGACAGAGGGCATCCCTGCCACACCCCTCTTGCAGTGGAGAAGGCTTCAGAGTCTATACCAGTTACCCTAACCTGAGCGTATGAGTTTTTGTATAGTCTCATGACAGAATTCATAAAATATAGCCCCATATTCATTTTTGGCAACAACCCTTCTAGGAATTGCCAGTTGACTCAATCAGAGGATTTATATGCATCTATTGATATGACTGCTAGTGGTAAATTTTTGCTTTTGCTTGGATGGATAACATTTTTTTTTTTTTAAATATTTTATTAAGGATTTTCTTGTTTTACAGAAGTGTAGTGCCTCGTTTTTTTTTTCCCCCCATGTAACATTTTTACAAATCCGTTTCATTTGTTGAGGCATTAGGGGGAGAAAAAAAAAAGAAAAAAGAAAAGGGGGGGTGGAGAGAGGGAAGATGGATGGGGGTGGGGTCGGGTGGCGGTGTTTCTATTATGTTTAATTGTAGACGGAAAATTGGGTCACAGATCTGTCTCTGGGGTATGGACCCAGCTTGATCTATGATGAAATAAACGTGTTGAGGCTTGCAGTAAAGATTTTAGCATCTTGATTTTTCCCTGGCTTAGGTATAATCTAGGGCTGGCATATGTCCTGAATTTCCTGGACATAGCCAGGATTTGGCCCCTGGAAGCAGCATCCGGGTGGAAAACGCTGAAACGTCCAGGGAGGAAAAAACTCAACAACTTTGGCAAAACAAATAAATAAATAAATAATGCCCCAAAACTTTGCCAAAAATACGAAATATGGCAACCCTATATAACTATTATTTTAGAGTGTTTCCAGGAGGTTGGTACTTGACCACCTGAAAGAATATCATTAAACAGAGAGGTTAATCTTGGGATCAGAATCTCACTGAATCACTTATAGAAGTTTGCAGTGTAACTGTCTTAACTTTATACCCCTTCAGTTTTTTGATTACTGTGGCTACCTCATCTATAGGCTGGTTTAAATAGTCCCCGTGGGTGTCATTTACTTTAGGTAATGCAATTCTTTCCAAATACAGTGGTACCTTGGTTCTCAAACGGCTTTGTACTCAAACAACTTAGAACCCAAACACTGCCAACCCAGAAGTGTTCTGAACCTTTTTTCGGAAGCCGAACATGCTCCGTTTTGAGTGTTACACTTCCGATTTGAGTGCCACACTTCTGTTTTGAGTGTTACACTGAGGTCCGTCTGTTTTTGCTATTTATTTTGAGTTTTTCTTTTTGTGCCTTTTTTGTTTTGTTTTTGTGACTGTGTGGAACCCAGTTCAGTTACTGATTGATTGTTTGACTGCAGTACATTGTTTATTGCTTTCATTTTATGGATCAATGGTCTCGTTAGATAGTAAAATTCATGTTAAATTGCTGTTTTAGGGGTTGTTTTTAAAAGTCTGGAACGGATTAATCCATTTTGCATTACTTTCTATGGGAAAGCACGCCTTGGTTTTAGAATGGTTTGGTTTTGGAATGGACTTCTGGAACGGATTAAGTTTGAGAACCAAGGTACCACTGTATTCTGTAACTGTTGGGAAGGAGGTGATAGGATCAGCATAAAGGGAGGCATAAAAAATTCTAAACATAATTTACTTACTGTTATCATCATATTTAAGGGTACCTGCCTCATCCCTTAGCTGGTTTACTCTCTTAATGTTCATTCTTTTCTGAATACGGTTAGCAAGCATCTTAGACTTCTTATCACCATGTTTATAATATTTTTGGTTGAGGAAAAGCAAATTTGTAGAGATTTTTTTATGTTTCCAAGGCTGTGACTTCTGCTCTCCTAGCATTCAAGATACTTAAAGTCTTCTTCCTGCCACCTCTTATGTGCTTTAGTTCAAGCTGCCTTATTTCCAGTAGGAGGTGATCTGATTCTTTGGCAGCCTTTCTTTTGATTGCTGTCGCTTCACTAATGCAGGTCCCCTGATGATGCCTTCATAGCTTCCCAGACTGTTGCAAGAGGCATTCTCTCTGTGGTGTTAATATCCAAGTAGTTATTTATTTCTGAAAAGAGGTGGTCTGTTGCCAGCTTATTCGGTAGGAGAATTGCAGGGAATTTCCAGCTAGATGATGACTTGGGTTTTTCTTGGAGACGTAAGGTGGCCCCCACTGGAGTGTGGTCAGAAACAGTGCGACAACCAATCTTTGATTCAACAATTATTTGAAAGTCTGATGTTGAAATCATGACAAAATTGAAATAGGAGTATGATGAGTAACAACTTGAAAAAATGAAAAGTCTTTAGTAGTTGGCTGGAGCTCTCTCCATATGTCTGCCAGGTTGTGTTTGCGAAGTATGTCTTCCAAAGCTGAGGGTGTTTTACGTGACTTGGTTACAGTGGGACCGGTTCTGTCCAGTTGGGGATCTCATACAAGATTTAATTCCCCTCCTAATAGCTCCATGCCTTCCTGGAATCCAGATAGTTCTTGCAGAGTGAGTCAGAGAAATTGTAACTGTCCTTTGTTCGGAGAGCAAAGTGAGTCTATAGTTGGTGTGATGCCTTTCCTTGGGCCTTTGACATAGTGGCCTCTCTTGTCCGTCAAAGTTCCCTTGAGGGTAAAAATCAGACTGTTGGAAATCAGCACCGCTACACCTCTTGCTTTTGATGTGCCAGGAGATGAGATTTGGACATCAAAGCCTTTGAGACAATGAATTCTATCCATTTGCTTCTTACAGTGCGTTTCCTGTAGGCGTATTATTTTAGGATTTCCCATTTGAGCAGTAGCTCGACTCTTTGTTGTTCCACTGGTGAGTTGAGACCATTGACATTTATGGTGAGTATTTTTCAACAACAACAACAACAACAACAACAATAATAATTTATTATTTATATCCCGCCCATCTGGGCGGCTTCCAACACAATATTAAAATGCAGTAATTAAAATACAGTAATGCATCAAACATTAAAAGCTTCCCTAAACAGGGCTGCCTTCAGATGTCGTTTCTAGTTTCCATTGGCCAGATTATTATTATTATTTAAATTTGTTAGTCATTTTATTTTGCCAAGGGTAACCTTACAACCAACCAGACAGATGGATTCTTCCACATAGATACATTAAAATAAAGAGGGGGGCAACACATTAAAAACATTCTGTCCCCTTTCAAAAGGCCACATACAGTGGTGCCTCGCAAGATGAAATTAATCCGTTCCGCAAGTCTCTTCGTCTTGCGGTTTTTTCGTCTTGCGAAGCACGGCTATTAGCGGCTTAGCGGCTATTAGCGGCTTAGCGGCTATTAACGGCTTAGCGGCTTTAAGAAAAAGGAAACAAACTCGCAAGAACTCGCAAGATGTTTCGTCTTGCGAAGCAAGCCCATAGGGAAATTCGTCTTACGGAACGACTCAAAAAACGGAAAACTCTTTCGTCTAGCGAGTTTTTCGTCTTGCGAGGCATTCGTCTTGCGGGGCACCACTGTATAGTTAAAGTTTTAGCCCAGCACCTGAAGATATGTAGTGAAGGCACCAGGCAAGCCTCCCTGAGGAAATTTTACTGCTGTTGAGATCACTCCGGGTCTGAGGCTTTTCACTGGGGGGAAGTGGTGGTTCTTTTGTGTCTAAGGAACCCCCACCCTTTCATAGTAAAATACGAAAGGGGATAGGAGATTTCTTTTTCTGATGCCACCGCTGCTTCTCGAGGCTCAAGATTGCCTCTTGAGCTTTCCCGGGGTTGCATAGCCCTTGCGTAGCCCCCAAAAGACCCCCTTCAGTGACTGCTCCGTCTCTGAGTAGCTCAGGTGCGCACCCGCTTTGATCCGCGGTAAAACAGGAAGTCGGCAGTCCCACCCCAGCCTGTGCCATGCTGCCATTTTCCAGCACTACCCTCCTTCTGTTGCTTGGTTCCTCAAACATCAGAGGCTGCGAACACAACCATGAACCACAGAACCTGGACACAGAGTTTGCCCTCGCTCTCTACCAATGCTGGGCAGAGCTCCACCACGGAACGAACCTCACTGTTTCCCCAGTGAGCATGTCTCTTTCTTTGGGGCTCAAGGGAGCGCATTGGCCCAGCGGCAGCATGCTCTGGGAACAGCACTCATGGTGAGGCATCCCTTTGAGAAGCAGCTTTTCGGTCATGAACTTCACCTTACAGCTTGGACTGTCAAGGCAGTGGATGGTATAGGCTAGGTCAATACTGACCACTGTCTCTCTTCAGCCACACGTGAAGGGTTTGGGTCATGGCAGGCTCCGGAGAGTGGGGACGAGGGAAGAAGCGTTGGGGGACCAAGGGGCAGAGAGAGCCAAGCCCAATTCCTCCCAGAGCTGGCCCCGCCTGACCACGTAAGCGTGTTGCAACGGAGGAGGCGGGCCCAGTGGGGAGGCAGCTCCATTTTATTTCAGACATCGTGATATACTGCAATGTTTAGTGGGTGTTATATTGTGATGTTGAAAGCCAGATACCATCCAGCCCTAGTCATGGGTGGAGTGCAGGGCTTGCTGTTACTGCAGCGTACATTGAGGCTCTGACTCAGTAGAGAAGCACACGGTGTGCATGTAAAAGGTCCCAGGTTCAGTCTCATGAGCTACATGGAGACCTCTTAGCAGAGCTGGTCAGAAGAGGAGAAGGAACAGGACACGACTGTGGAATTGGATCCTGGGAAGGGGCCCATTGGCTTGGGAGGTGCTGATCTTGACACTGGGGAGGGACCAGGTTGGTTGTCAAATGGAGGTCTCATCCCCAGTACAATTGGACATCCCAAGAGCTGAGGAGGAGCCCCTGGTTTGACTTCAGCCCTGTTTCCCATTGCCTCTGGATTGGCAGCTGAGGCCGGAACAGACAGCGAATTAGCTGTGAGACTCTGTCTCCATATCCAAGGATGTGGTGCTAGCTGTGCCAGCACAAGCTGTTCCAGCCTACTCTCCAGAAAGCCTGCTTGCTTGCCCCAGTGGGCTCTTCAAAAGGGGAGCTGCAGGGGCATGCGAAGCGTTGGGACAATGTCTTAGTTATGCCTAGCCATGAACATTAGGACTGATATAACTGCTGACTTGCACGCCTTGTAACCTGATCTTTGTTTAGCCATTGCATTTGGCGAAAAGGGAGCCAAGAGTACTGTGTCTTCAAGTGGGAGCCAGAACAATGCCCTGCTCGTGATCTTCCAGGGGCCAGTGTTAGACACAGAATCCTGGACAAAATAGACTTTGTTTCTGACCCAGCTAAGGGATTCTTAAGTTCTGATTACAGTGTACCATGATGCTATAATTTAGACTGGTAGTGTTTTTACTATTGTCTCCAAAGGCAGTTTGCAACAAACATGTTTTGCTATGTGCGCCTTACAGGTGCAATGAACAGAGGACTGGGATAAGCTGTGGCTCCTTGCTATGTAGACATGCGGGGTCGAAGCACACATGACATTGCATGCTGTGTGAAGCAGCTGTCCCTTGTACCTCATTCTCAGGCATCAGTCCTCTTCCAAGTTGGCCTAGGAAACAGATGGTATATACTGCAGGTATTCAGCTGTCCATTCAGAATCCATTTATCCATTCTTCCTGAGACCTATTTTTAACTTTTGTCAATTCTGTTGTTGCTGCGACAAGTTTGTGTAGCAGAGTTGATTGGCTATAATAAAGATAAAGTAAATTAGCAGAAAGCAAACTTAAACTGTTGATATACACTACAATTTCTTATTCCAAGCATGCACATTTCCTAATAGCATGTACTAATTGGTTGACAGAGTCATCAGAACATGCTGATTTGCCCCTAAATGTAACTTTTATGTTATTCAGAAGAGTTTAGCATACATGTGCATGCCTGCACATGCATTATGTATATGTTAAGGTGCATAACAACCAGCTGTTGAGCACATTCTGCAGGTCTCACAGATAATGTATTTTTCAGAAATATAATGCATCTAGTGTTTTAAAAATACAACAAATTCTAGTGTACTAGAAACTCATATTGGTATTTTGGGATACGTCAACATTCCCCAGACCCCGTAGAGACGTTTCCATGAGGGGTTCCTGAAGTGGCGTTGGGGCAGACATGTGGGTCTTTCACATGGAATCAATACATCTGGCAGGAGGCAGACTTAGCGCATGTGATCCACACAATCACCCTGTGTGATGGGGTCATTTAAATTTTATCCCAGCGATGTGGGAGCTTGTTCACAGAGAAGAGGCTTCCGTGAATTTGGATGCAGGTGTAAAGAGCCCCGTGCTCATGATTTATGTCCGACTGCATTTGGCTGGTATTTGGATCTTGAATAAGGAAACTATATTTAAATTTCAAAATGTGGACTTCTGCCTATCTCTTTGTACCCATACAAAGTCTCCAAATGAGGCTACTTGCAATCCACATGCTATTTTAAGTCGACACCAAGGCCCCAGAGATCATGGGATCATAGAGTTGGAAGGGACCCTGAGGATCATCTAGTTCAACCCCCTGCAATCCAGGAATATTCACCTGTCCCTCATAGGGAATGAACTGCAACCATGGTGTTATCATCGCATAGCATACCATGGGCCGAATCATAGAATTGGAGGGTGCCTTGTTAAGCTGTTCTGTTGACTCCCATGCTCAGTGTGGGAAAACCAAACGCAAAGTATCCCCAACAGATGGCCGTCCAGGCTCTGCTTGAGGAGCAGACATAAATATTGGAGAACGGAACAAAACTGCAGAGTGTGAGTAATTAAGGAGTAATTCAACTCTCTGAATTAACCTGGAAGGAGGAAGGCATTTTCTTTGTAATATTTCTTTTTAAATTTTCATTTTATAATGTTATATAAAACAGAGAGAACAAGTGTAACAGATGAAAATCAAAATGTAAAAACAAAGTAAAATAGGCACCAAGGATGAGTGCAGTTGCACATGCAATAAAATAACAAAGTTCAAGTAAAAAATATTAACATTATCATCAGATTATCAAGCCAAGGTAAATATTTGGAATGCTCTCAGTCTGTCAGTTTTGCCAGCCAAACTTTGAACAGGAGCTTTCAAACTGTGTGTGTTTGTGTTTGGATGTTCTCTCTCTTTTCTTACACACACACACACAGACACACACACACACACACACACACACACAGTCTACATGTACCGTATTTTTTGCACCATAACACTCACTTTTTTCCTCCTAGAAAGTAAGGGGAAATGTCTGTGCGTGTTATGGAGCGAATGCCTGCGGGGGGGGGGGGATCTGCTGCAGTCGTGAGCAGAGGATCCATGGTTCCCCTTCCTTCCCTCTTCCGTGGTTACAAAGCATGGATCCACATGGATCCTCAGGATTTTTGCATTGGGCTACTCCAAACTCACTGTCAGATCACATGTCTGTGGCCATAGCATGAACCACAAAAATCATATATCCACTATTTCGTTTAGAATTTTTTTTCTTCTTGTTTTCCTCCTCTAAAAACTGCGTGTGTGTTATGGTCTGGTGCGTGTTATAGAGCGAAAAATACGGTATATTTTGTGTGTCTATTGACATCAAGCTAAAAGCATTTTTGATTAGAGTGGCCTACCCAGATATGTAGAATGTTGAGGGGGGTGTGTGTGTGCTTAATATATTTTACTGATTTTTCAAAATAACATGTAATAACAATCCTCCCAACCAACATCGCCCACTTCACACACCCCACCCTCCAAATACAGGTTCCTCATGGGAAAACATTGTTCCAAAGTGTCAGGTGTGAGTCTGGTGGAGCTCATTCTGAGTGACAGTCAGTTGTGTGTGTAATAAAAGAATGCCGCTATAAAGTTATCCTCTTCCAGCTAATGCCTTGATGTCCTTAGTTAATTTTTTGAAAGTGCCAGTATCCCTACTTTCTTTTTCCACTGTGATGATAATAATTAAAGGTAAAGGACCCCTGACAGTTGAGTTCAGTCGCGAACGACTCTGGGGTTATGGCGCTCATCTCGCTTTACTGGCCAGGGGGGGCCGACGTTTGTCCACTCCGCAGACAGTTTTTCTGGGTCATGTGGCCAGCATGACTAATCCGCTTCTGGTGAAACCAGAGCAGCGCATGGAAATGCCGTTTACCTTCCCACCGGAGTGGTACCTATTTATCTACTTGCGCTTTGAGGTGCTTTTGAACTGCTAGGTTGGCAGGAGCAGGGACTGAGCAACAGGAGCTCACCCGATCGTGGGGATTCAAACCGCTGACCTTCCGTTTGGCAAGCCCAAGGCTCAGGGGTTTACACCACAGCGCCACCCGCATCCCACGATGATAATAATAATGATTATTAAATCTGTATACCACCCTTCATCCGTAGATCTCGGAGCAGATCACAGCATAAAAATACAAGATAATAACACAAAATGCATAATAAAAACAAGTACAAAACAAACCTATAACCCCTCACCTCACCCCACTCCCACTAACACATTTGAAGGAGTATAGGATGTTAATCAGCCAAAGGCCTAGTTAAAGAGGAATGTTTTTGCCTGGCTCCTAAAGGTGGATAATGAAGGCGCCAGCTGACTCTCCCTGGGGACTTCCTATTTTGAGCTATGTAGTATTCTAATGGCAATGTAAAGGAAGGTGATTAGTGCTTTGTATGTCAAATTAACACTATCACCTTAAAAACTGTTAGCAGAACCAAGGTTGGGGTGTAAGTAATGTTATGGTTTGTAATCAAACTTCTGTCACTAACAACAGTCTTCCAGAATGCTTGCAGTTTATAACAATCCCACCACATGTGAATAGTTCTGATATCTTTACACCCTCTAATGAAGGCGTTTTCTGAACCACCCCAGTGCCAGTGATAAGTCCATAATAATAAAGATTGAGTTGAGGCTGAAGGTTCCTCTTCTTGGGTGGAAGGACACTTTCATGTTAAGCTTGTGGTCCACCAAGACCCCCAGATCCTTTCCACATGTACTTCTAGTAAGCCAGGTGTTCCCCATCCTCTATTTGTGCACCTGGTTCTTCCTGCCTAAGTGCAGAACCTGGCATTTGTCCCTATTGAAATTCACTTTGTTAGCTTGCGCCAGGTTCTCTGATCTGTTAAGGTCATTTTGAATTCTGATTCTGTCTTCTACTGAATTAGCTCCCCCTCCCAGTTTGGTGTCACCTGCAAATTGGATGAGCATCCCCTCAATTCCTTCATCCAAGTCGTTTATAAAGACGTTGAACAACAGGCCCAGGATGGAGCCCTGAGGCAGACCACTGGTCACTTTTTTCCAGTCAACCTGCTACAAATCCACCTGTTGCTTCATTCAACCCACATTTTACCAGCTTCCTCGTGAGAATATCATGGGAATATTTTTGTCAATAGCCTTGCTGAAATCAAGATGTCCCTCATTCCCCTGATCCAACAAGTTTGTAATTCCATCAAAAAAAGAAATTATATTGCTGGCATTACTTATTTTTTAGAAACCCATGCTGGGTCTTAGTGATCACAGCATCCTTTTCTAAATACTCACAGACAGTTGAATTATCTGTTCTGAAGTGAAATGCTATTCTTTCTTTGCATATAACATTTATATCTTGGGGAGTGGGGGTTGTATATGATGAAGGCATGTTCCTGGGCTCTCCTCAGCACAAACATATAAATATAATAATAAAAAAAACTGTGAGAATGATCAGGTACGTGTTGTTGTTTAGCCATGTATGCCTCTTCGTGACCCAATGGACCAGAGCACACCAGGCACTCCTGTCTTCCACTGCCTCCCGCAGTTTGGTCAAACTCATGTTGTTAGCTTTGAGAACACTGTCCCACCATCTCATCCTCTGTCGTCCCCTTCTCCTTGTGCCCTCCATCTTTCCCAACATCAGGGTCCTTTCCAGGGAGTCTTCTCTTCTCATGAGGTGGCCAAAGTATTGGAGCCTCAGCTTCACGATCTGTCCTTCCAGTGAGCACTCAGGGCTGATTTCCTTAAGAATGGATAGGTTTGATCTTCTTGCAGTCCATGGGACTCTCAAGAGTCTCCTCCAGCACCATAATTCAAAAGCATCAATTCTTTGGCGATCAGCCTTCTTTATGGTCCAGCTCTCACTTCCATACATCACTACTGGGAAAACCATAGCTTTAACTATACGGACCTTCGTTGACAAGGTGATGTCTCTGCTTTTTAAGATGCTGTCTAGGTTTGTCATTGCTTTTCTCCCAAGAAGCAGGTGTCTTTTAATTTTGTGGCTGCTGTCACCATCTGCAGTGATCATGGAGCCCAAGAAAGTAAAATCTCTCACTGCCTCCATTTCTTCCCCTTCTATTTGCCAGGAGGTGATGGGACCAGTGGCCATGATCTTCGTTTTTTTGATGTTAAGCTTGAGACCACATTTTGCAGTCTCCTCTTTCACCCTCAATAAAAGGTTCTTTAATTCCTCCTCACTTTTCTGCCATCTGTGTTGTGTCACCTGCATATCTGAGGTTGTTGATATTTCTTCTGGCAATCTTAATTCTGGCTTGGGATTCATCCAGCCCAGCCTTTTGCATGTTGAATTCTGCATATAAGTTAAATAAGCAGGGAGACAATATACAGCCTTGTCGTACTCCTTTCCCAATTTTGAACCAATCCGTTGTTCCATGTCCAGTTCTAACTGTAGCTTCTTGTCCCACATAGAGATTTCTCAGGAGACAGATGAGGTGATCTGGCACTCCCATTTCTTTAAGAACTTGCCATAGTTTGCTGTGGTCGACACAGTCAAAGGCTTTTGTGTAGTCAATGAAGCAGAAGTATCAGGTACATACCAGAGAGTAAGTCCTATTGAACTCAGTGGGACTTACTGCTGAGTAAAAGTGCTTAGGATTGCAGTGTAAAACTGCTGCGGAGGCAGGAAGAAGATTAACAAAATCCATCCTCCTAGCAAACTGGGGAAATATCTCCTCCCTCACACAGTTTGTGACATCCTACACCTTTCCTCAGCAGTTTCTTTTTCTTTGAGAAAAATAAGAAGCTCATGTAAATGTAAACTGAGCTTTAATAATAAAGAAAACTGGAACAAAATAACATATTGGGAGAAACTAAATACAACAACATGAGGCAAGTTTTGAGGCAAGAAACAAGGTGGCAGTTGGTCCCTCTTAAGGGATCACACCCTGAAGGGAGGGGCTGATCCAGAGCAGAACCCCAAGAGACCCTCCAGAGGGTGGGTGGGAGAGAGAGAGGGGGGGGGGAACACACAGAAGCAAGCAAGACTCCAAAGTGCTTATCTTGTGAACTTGCCATTTAAATTGTTTAATCATGTTGCAAAAAAGAGGACCGGGTGAGGAGATCTGATCTCTTCATCACTTTTAATGGATCTCAGAGATGTGAAGGAGAGGGTAAAGCAAAAGGAGAAAGGATCTTTCTGGGGGCTAGGATGCGAGGTCCCTTCCAACTCTGCAACGGATTCTCTTCCTCCGCTTCCCGCCCCTCCAGAATTTCTTTCTCACAGGGGAGCCAATCTTCCGCTTCACTGCAGACAGCCTCTCCACATTTTCCAGCTCTCCCTTTCCCTGCATCACATAAATAAGGCACCTTCAGCTTCATGGGGAAAGGGGACTGTAAGAGCTTGTGGCTGCTGTTCACTTTTTCATATTTCTCTCCATTTGAAGCGCAGACATGCAGGGATCCTGGCTGCCCCCAGCTGCGGCTCTGATTGAGTTCACGTATAAAACCCACTGTAACACTGTCCTTTATGCAGTCCTCTGTGTCTAGTTTATCCTTCTCTTGTGCCCTCCTTTCTTTTGCCACTGCTCCCAGCTCTAAAGTTAACTTTCAGCCAACAGAATGCTGTGAAGAGAATAGAGTGGCCCCCAGAAAATGCCCCCCCAATTACCAATAAAAGTTTCCTTCCAAAAAGTTAGTTAGTAAATGGACAGAAAAGGCCCAATGTAAACCAATCCTAAATGCAACAATTATATCACCTTTCCGAATGTGTAAAGTGGTTGTATCTGGTTGCATGGCTGACTGCAGAACAGAGGGAAAGGGGAGTCCCTGCGTGCAAGGCAGCCTGGCTCAGGTATTGAGATTCACTCCTCTTGTTTACAGGAAACACAAGCTCTACAGAGTTCAGCGTCCTAGGAAAAAAGCAGCCTTGTACCAGTTATAACTTGTACAACAAGTAGTACCTAGTTAACAGTAACAAGCGTGGAATAATCATTACAAACGCCATGCTGAAAACTGAAGTTATGTGTTCATGCTCCTGTGGAATTAAAAGTGTGCATGGGGGCTTCAGTGTATTTTGAGCATGCCAAATTGCATTTTGTTCAGTAGGATGTGTTGTCCTTGGGAGCCACATCTGGAATTATATGTTCACGTTACTCTGCACACTTTAATTAAACTTGAGAAAATCTGTGCATGCCACAGAAATTAGCAAATACCATGTAAGTAATGAGAAGGGCCCGGAGGGCACGGCTTGACAGCCACAAAATTCTTGCAGAGTTACAAGAAGTACAAGGGGTATATTTTCTTCCCACCATCATGCACTTAGTTTTAGGGAAAATCTAGAAGCATGAGTTCCTCTCTAGCTGATTTTTAGGTACTTCAGAATTTATTACTCATCTAAGAAAATCATTCTCTTACATAACTTAGTAAGAGTTAGATGCACAAAGCTACTGGTGTTCAAGTTCTGTAACTGTAACTTCTCAAGGCTTTGTAAAACCAAGTTAACCCTCAACATAATGTTTGAAAACGTGCCTTTTGCCCTCCAAGTCAGTCAACAGTGTGAGTCATACTCTGAACTTTATCAGGCAGTAATCTTACACTTTTAAAATTGCAAATTCATTACAGTCATCTGTGCTTTATGTGGAATAACAGGCTCAACAGGGTTCTCTAGTCCAGGTTGTGGTTACTCATTAAACATGCAAATCGAAAAATATTTCATAACTCTAAATGAAGCAACTGACATTGTTTTTCGGGGGGGGTAGGTATTTGAAAATATGAATATGAATTTTCATGCCCCTCTGTTTATGTATGTGTTCATATTGAAATAGGATTAACTTTGAATCAGAGAATTGGAAAAAGACCAAAAGGGTCATCTATTTCAACCCACTGCAATGTGATACATTTCCCACTCCTGACCACTTGCTACTTGGAAATCAGTGTGGAAGAAGGACTCTGTGGGTGAACTGAAAGATTCTCAATGGCTTAAGATCTGGTCCACTCGTCTCTTTAGGTCTGTGTCTGCTAACATTAGGGATAATTCTTTGAAGGGGTCCACCTCTGGTTTTTAGACTCCAGTCCAACTAGCTGAGGTCTACTTCCTCATTATGTTGGTGGGATTGTAAGGTACTACTACTCAATCCACCAGAACCTGTCTCTGCATGCAGGGAAGGGTTTGAGACCCATCAGCTCCCCTCACCTGGTCAGCCGGCAAGTCAAAGTCGTTTCCTGCAATGTGGCCGCTGTCATATGCTGACAGCTTCTAGGAACCACAGGTGAGAACTGAGTGCAGCGTAGAGCCCAAAGGTGGACAGACTACTCCAGAAAGAGCACAAAATCTCCCCCACCATCGGTACTACCCTTCCCCCCACCCCATACACCCCTTTTTAAGTAAAATAAATAAATCAAAAGGCAGCAAGCAGCAAATATTTGAATTCATGATCCTTCTATCTCTGGTTTTATTTCATGTGGTGGTGGTAATTTTATTTTTTCTTCGATTTAGTAGCATAGGAAGGGAGGGTGGGGAGGCGGGGCACCCAGGACAGCCCTGGGGCTGCAGGGTGCCCAAACAGCTGCATCCCTCCTGGGTGCCCTCCAGCAGGCCCAGTGCTGCCGTGAAACGCAGCTGGGGTGCTCTGTGGGCCGGCACACACCAGCTGCATCCCTGCCGGGTGTCCCTTGCCCACTTGGGACCCCCTGCCTCCATGGCACAAGCAGGGGATGCTACACCAGTGCTCCTGCCTTCTTCCCACAAAGAGCCTCAGGAAAAGAGGGGAGAGAAGGCAGGCAGAGCCCAGGAGACAGGTGCCCTCAGGGATTCAGTGTGCAGGTCACTCACTCTTCCTCACTGTTACTAGACAAACACATTCAATGGACAATTTCCCATGGAAATGTAAAGCATCAGAGAACCTTCCTGATCATGTTGTTTTTGGGAAAACTTCATGCGGGCCGCCCTCTGTGCACAGCCACCCCTCCAACCCGGCTCCCCAGAGCAAACCACCTGGTCCGAAACTAGACCTCAGACTTATCTTGGGCAGCCCTGCCTAGCCCAACGGCGAGAGGACCAGACAAGGGGCATTCTCACTTCCCATTCACTCAGGTGGCACACCCTGCCCACTTCTACCCCATGGCACAGCACATGCAAGCGCACCTCCAGCCCCCCAGGCGCAGGTGGGTGGGGCTATGCCAGTGCTTCGATTTGCAAATGTTGGAAGAATTACCCTGCCAGTGCAAACAGGGTGGATTTGATTTAAATAACTAGTCAGTAAGACTTGATTTTAATCATTTTTTTTTTTTTTTTACAAAAAGACTTGTTCTTGCTGGTATAAGATTTCATTTTTTAAATAATAAATTTTCAGAGTAGTTTAGATACTCATATTTATGGTATGGGAAAGGGAAAACACATAAAGGCTTTTCAAACCGTATAATAAGAAAGTCATTAATAAGAGTGTGGGGAAAATAAAAAGATCTGTTAGAGCGGAAAACACCATGGTGGCTGTCACCCACTGAAGCATTTTCACTTAAGTCGACCAAAAAAGTAAGCTGGTTGACATATAGAGAGTTGTTAACAGAAGAAGACGGTAAACTCAAACTAAAAGAGTATGATGAGCTGAAAGGCTGTCTACAAAGTTGGTTACACCATAGGCAATTAAATGAAATTTTTTAAGGAAGACAATAAAAAGGGTTTAAGTTATACAATCTCCAGATTTCAAAAAGAAATAGTGAAAGAGAATGTTAAATTGTTAAAATAAGCATGTAGTATTTTATTAGAGTGCGAAACCAAAGATGAAGAGGTAAAATCAGTTATGATTAAATGGGCTCAGGATGTGAAACACAACATCCAATTTGAAAGTTGGGAAAAATTATGGAAAGTTGATATAAAATTCACAGATTGCATACTATTAAGAGAGAATTACATTAAAATGATGTATAGATGGTATATCACACCAGTGAAAATGGCAAAGATGTTTAGGAAAGAAAATAACAGATGTTGGAGATGTAAGGAAAAGGAAGGAACATTTTATCATATGTGGTGGGAATGCCGCCCAGAGTGGCTGGGGAAACTCAGCCAAATGGGCGGGGTATAGACTTCCGAGGGGCGGCGCGAACGGCAATGGCGGTCCTCTTCTGAAAGGGAGAGGAGGCTCCGCAGAAAACGGGTCGTCCGCTACGGCGAGCGGAGACCCACTCCGGAAAACCCCAGGCAGCAAGAGCTTGGGGTCCTGAGGCTCGGTGGGCGCCTTAAGTGACCCTCCAAACGCAGAAGGAACCTCGTAAGGGGCTCCGGAGCGTGGAGGGGGGTTGCGGCGCTGAGAGCTGCTTCACAGTCTGCGGAGTGAAGCCGCGCTGCTGCTGCCGGTGAGCGCTGATCCTTTTCCTGCTAAAACACGGATTCGGACGAAAAGCAACTTACTCGTGAGTAAAGACTGAATCACTTGAAATCAGAGACTTTATATGAAAAACCTTAAATTGGCTTGAACTTGGCTGAAAGCGGAGAGACGTGGAAACAGGAAGTCCGTCTTCCGCAGCCATTGAACTTGAAAAAAGCAACTAAGTTGGAGGAGTGGAGGCTGAAAGGAAGAGATTTTAAACTTTACAGATCTAAGCATCTACTGAACCTGCAATTTAAAGTAAAGACTTTAAGCTAAAGACTTGGAATTTTAACTTGCACTTGACTCCCCCCTTTTATTGGATTACAAATTAGAAGGTGAAACCCAGAGTCAGGAGCTGCCTGAGCATTGAGAAATTGAGCTGTCAGTATTGCAGATTTGGATACTGTATATTGGAACTTGCAACAATCTGAGGGTATTGAGACTTTTTAAATTTGAAACATTCTTTTTGGAGACAAATAAGCACTGTCTGTAACAAAGTGACTACTTATAAACTCTGCTAAATATTTATATTTGAAGGTTCTTGGACATTAAATTAGACTCTGAAAGACATTTTAAGCTCCCTCTAGAGGACTGGATGAAAACAGTGACTTTACATTTACATTTACTTTCGATTCCCTTGTTGTTTGCTTGCTCTGGGCCTTTCTATTCCCATGGGAAAAACTCAGTGTGACCTTGACTGATAGACAACGTTGGAATGAGTGGCACAAGGAAAAGAGGGAGAGTTAGACAAACAACTTTAACAACTCTAACCTCAGCCTCGCAGACACGTAGATCATCTGTACCTACTTTGCCCTCAGAAGTAGAACTTGAAGAAGTTGCCTTGCCACAGGCAAAAGAGGGAGAGGGTGAAGCAGAGCAGTTACAATTGGAAGATATGGCCTCAGGAGTATCTGTTTCTGTTCTAGACAAAATCTTTGAAAAATTGGAAGCTTTGGACAAGAAAGTAGATGCGCAATCAGCAAAGATTGACAAAAATACAGAATGTCTAAATAAATTAACCATACAAGTTGTACAGAATACACAAGCAATTGGACAGTTAACGGAGGCCTCAGCAGAAAATCGGAAATTGGCTGAGGATACTAGACAAAAATTGGAAAATTTAGAGCAAGAGGTAAGGCCACTCACCAAACAAGTTGGGGAACATCAGACTTATCTTTCCATGATAGAACTGCGAAATCGTGAGAATAATTTGAGGATTAGATCATTACAAGAGGCAGAAGAAGGAAATTTAACTGAGTTTTTGACCAAAGAATTTTCCAAGTTCTGGAATTTGGAAGAAAAGGATTTTAAAATTGTGTCGGCTTTCAGACTTGGAAGATTCACAAAGAAGGAGAGGCCCAGAGACTGTTTGATTACATTGAGATCAAAGGAGGAAAGGGATAAGATTTTGGGCCTACATTACGGAAAGTCACTGGAGGTTTTGGACAGAAGAATTGAAATTTATAAAGATATTCCAAGACAACTGCTGGATCTTAGAGCCGCCTATTCTGAACTTGCTAAACTACTAAGGAGCAACGCAATTCCATTCAGGTGGGAATTTCCACAAGGAATATCTTTTACCTTTAAAGGGAGAAAGGTCAAAGTTAGAACATTGGAAGAGAGAGACAAATTTTTGGCTACATACGGAGAGGACCTTCAAAAGGAATTGAATTACCTTCTGGGCCTGGGGCAAAGCCAGTATCAACACCAGCACCTGGGGAACCTGAAGATCCAGAGAAGACACCACCCCTGGAGAAATAACCAGATAGATCCAGGATGTCTCTGCAATTGCTGAGTTGGAACATTAATGGTTGTAACATTCCGGAAAAAGGAAGAAAATATTTCATATATTAAAAAAGAACAATTGGACATTATCTGTTTACAAGAAACACATGTGACGAGGCTCCACAGAAAAGTGTTAATAAATAAAAGATTGGGCCAGGAATTTGTTTCGTCGGACAAAGTTAAGAAGAGAGGCGTGGTGATATATGCAAAAGAGAGCCTGTCACCTAAATTCTTATTTAAAGATGAACATGGAAGAATTTTGGCCATTGAGATACAATATCAAGGAGAGAAACTGTTGATATTAGGAATCTATGCACCTAACGAAGGGAAATCGGAATTTTACAAGAAGCTGCAGGGGACAATGCTGGAATATCTGGATTACAACAACATCATAATGATGGGAGACATGAACGGGTCGTGTCAACTAACATGGACAAGTCACAAAGTCAAAATGTTACAAAAGACGGCAGACTACCTAAAACTTTTTTGAAATGACTGACAATATGGATTTGATTGACATTTGGAGGACAAAGAACCCACTAGGTAGAGAAGGAACATTCTTTTCTGAAGCCCAACTGACCTGGACAAGAATCGACCAAATATGGATTTCCAGAGGCCTGGCACCTAAGGTCAGAAAAGTGGAAATCTGCCCAAAGACCTGCTCTGACCATAATGCAGTAAAGATGGATATGACACTACTACCAACTGGATCCTTTAGATGGAAGATGAATGACAATTTGTTTAGAGATCAGGAAATTACCAAGAAGGCCCAAAAAGTTTTGAAGGACTATTTTGAGATAAACATGAACAATTCGGTGGACAAAAGAATTGTCTGGGACGCAAGCAAAGCTGTAATGAGGGGATTCTTGATACAACAGAATGTAGTAAAGAAAAGAACACAAAATGAGAAAAAAGATAAAATCTTGGACAAATTAAAAGAATTAGAGAAGAAATTAAGAGCGAATCCAAAGTCACAGCCAACTCTGAGAGAAATTAAACTCTATCAAACACAATATTCTAAATTGATAAATCAGGAAATTGAATGGAAGGTTAAATTAATGAAACAAAAAACGTTTGAGTCGGCGAATAAATGTGGAAAACTGCTAGCTTGGCAGTTGAAGAGAAGACAAAGATTAAACACGGTTACAAACTTAGAGGTTGATGGAAAAACATTCAGAATCCAGTGGATATTAGAAAGTGTTTCCAGAGATATTTTAAAAATTATACACCCAAGGGCCGCAAGACGAAGTTGAGATTAAACAATTTTTGCCAAAAATGGACTATCTAAATTGTCACAAGAAAACAGGACAATCCTGAACTCTAAAATAACACGACAGGAGATTGAACAAGCTATTCAGAACATGCAACTTGGCAAATCTCCAGGGCCAGATGGGCTGACCTCCAAGTATTATAAGACATTAAAAGACTATTTGATACAACCCTTGATGGAGGTCAGCAATGAAATTATCGAGGGAAGAGGGCACCGGATTCGTGGAAGGAAGCGTTCATCACATTAATACCAAAGTCAGAAGCTGAAAAGACACAACTGAAGAACTACCGTCCCATCTCTCTTTTAAATGTGGATTACAAAATATTTGCAGACATTTTGGCAAGTAGATTTAAAAAGTATTAAATGAAGTAATTCATAAGGACCAGGCCGGTTTTCTCCCAGGTAGACATCTGTTTGCTAACACAAGGAACATTATTGACATCTTGGAACTTCTGCAAACAGATATAAATACAAAAGCAGTTTTAATTTTTATAGATGCGGAGAAGGCCTTTGACAATATTTCCTGGAAATTTATGATGGGAAATTTAAAAGAGATGGGAGTGGGACGGGGTTTTGAGAATGGGATTGAGGCGATATATTCAGAACAGAAAGCTAAACTGATAGTTAATAATGTGGTTACAGAAGAGTTTAAAATTGAAAAAGGGACACGACAAGGTTGCCCTATTTCCCCTTTGTTATTTATTTCGGTTCTGGAAGTGCTACTGAACATGATTAGAGGGGATCGGTTGGTGGAAGGAATTCAGGTTGGTCAGAAACAATATAAACTAAAAGCTTTTGCAGATGACCTGGTTTTGACCTTGCAGAAGCCAGAGCCCAGTACGAAAAGAGTATTACAATTGATTAATGATTTTGGTCGGGTGGCGGGATTTAAATTAAATAAACAGAAAACTAAGGTTTTGGGGAAAAATTTGACTGATACAGAGTCAGAACGGTTTCAGAATGAGACGGAACTTAATGTGGTTAAAAAGTAAAATACCTAGGGGTAAACATAACAGCAAAAAATCTAAGTCTATTTAAGGATAACTATGAAAAATGTTGGACAGAAATTAAGAGAGACTTAGACAGTTGGTCAAAATTGAAACTTTCTTTGTTAGGCCGAATTGCTGCTATTAAGATGAATGTATTGCCAAGGATGTTGTTTTTATTTCAAACACTTCAGGTTTTGGACAAAACGGAGTGCTTTCAGAAGTGGCAGAGAGATATTTCGAAGTTTGTCTGGCAGGGCAAAAGCCCAGAATCAAGTTTAAGATATTAACTGATGTAAAACAAAGAGGGGCTTTGCCCTGCCGGACTTAAAGTTGTATTATGAAGCCGCAGCGTTCTGCTGGCTAAAAGACTGGCTACTTCTTGAAGACACTGATGTGTTGGACTTGGAAGGGTTTAATAATGTTTTTGGATGGCATGCATATTTATGGTATGACAAAGTTAAAGCAAATAAGGCCTTCAAGAACCATATTGTCAGAAAATCATTGTATAATGTCTGGACAAAATATAAAGACTTGCTGGAAAATAAAACACCAAGGTGGCTTTCACCTTTGGAAGCTAAGGCCCGAAAAAGACCCAATATGGAGGCTAAATGGCCAAAATATTGGGAAATACTAGAAAAGATGGAGACAATTGGAAATTGCAGAGTTTGGAGAAAATGAAAGACAAAGTGCGAGATTGGTTACATTACGCTCAGATTAAAGAAGTTTTTAAAAATGATAAGAAACTAGGGTTCCAGGTGGAGAAATCGAAATTAGAAACAGAATTGTTAGAACCAAAGACTAAGGTACTTTCAAGGATGTATAACTTGCTGTTGGAATGGAATACACAAGATGAAATGGTTAAATCGGCTATGATAAGGTGGGCACAGGACATTGGGTATAATATTATGTTTGAGGACTGGGAAAAGTTGTGGAGTAATGGATTGAAATTTACTGCATGTAACGCTCTGAAAGAAAATGTAATGAAAATGATTTATAGATGGTATATGACCCCAGTTAAACTTGCAAAAATTTACCACCTGTCTGATAATAAGTGTTGGAAATGTAAAGAGTGTGAGGGAACGTTCTTCCACCTCTGGTGGACCTGCCCTAAAGTGAAGGCGTTCTGGGAAATGATTTATAATGAATTGAAAAAGGTATTTAAATATACCTTTACCAAGAAACCAGAGGCTTTCCTTCTGGGTATTGTCAGCCAAGGGGTGGCAAAGAAGGACCAGACATTTTTATGTATGCAACAACAGCAGCAAGGATACTTCTTGCAAAACATTGGAAAACTCAAGATTTACCCACACTGGAAGAATGGCAGATGCAACTGATAGACTACATGGAACTGGCTGAAATGACCGGCAGAATCCGTGACCTGGGAGAAGAGAGAATCGAGGAGGATTGGAAGAAATTTAAGAACTATCTACAAAAATATTGTGATTTGAGTGAATGCTAAATAAGATGCTAGACTAAATAACTGAGCACCACTTAACCTAGAAGTTTTTAAGAAAATAAGTAAGACTGTGAAAGTTTAACTCTTTATGAGAACTATAAGATTATGAAACATTGAAGAGATATAAGAATTTAAATAAGATGATAAATTGCTGACAAAATGTTATAACGATGAAAGTGGGAGCGGGGGATGTGAGGAAGTCCAAAGAAAATGTGAAACTATGTTAAGACAAATGTTATATTGTTTATTATGTTTATTTTTATTGTAAAACCCAATAAATTGCTTTAAAAAAAAAAAACAAATGGGCGGGGTATAAATAATAAATTATTATGATGATGAGGCAAATAGATTAAAAATATTGGGAAATTATATACAATGAATTGGGAAAAAAAAGTTTAAAATGAATTTTGTCAAACACCCTGAAGCCATTTTGTTAGGTATCTCAAATCAAGAGCTATCAAAAGAAAAATGGACATTATTTATGTATGCTACATCAGCAGCAAGAATCTTGATTGCACAATATTGGAAGACGGAAGAAATACCATCAAAGGAACAATGGCAACAAAAGCTGATGAACTATGTAGAATTGGCTAAGCTAACATACAAACTACAAGAGGATGAAAAGGACTTCAAAAGAGTCTGGGAACCATTTACTGTTTATTTGCAGAAATAACAGAATGGACTGGATTCACTGGCAGGATTTGAATAAACTTTCACAACTTCATTTAAGTAACAGATATTTTAAAGAAATGATAAGGGATTTTATTTTTGGGTAGGAAAAGCAGGATACGATATATAAAACTAAATAACTCAGCAGAGGGGGAGATGAGGGAAGTCCAGAGGAGGGGAGGGAGAATAATTGTAAATAACATGATGAATGAGATTGGTATCATTAATTGTTATAGAATTCAATAAATAATCGGGAAAAAAGAAAAAAAAGAAATACATAGACAAATAATTATGAATTATTGTGAGGTTTCATAAGTTAACTGTTTATATTTGGACAACTTTTCTGATGTACTTTTTGTGGGGGGGGGGAGGAAAGATAAAGTTGGGAGACCTAGTCTGGAAGAGGCTTGCAGAAAGAGGAGGCCGAGGAGAAACAGGCTGGTGGAAAGCTGGAAAAGGGGAACCGAGGACTGGAGCGGAGAACTTCAGGGATTCCTGCTGCAGGACTGAAGTTCCCAGTAGAGGCTTTATTGTTTGGAGAATGTCAGGCCAGCCCCGGGAAGAAGGGCCTGGAAGCAGTGAACTCTTCTTAGTTGACCTGCAAGCACTTCAAGGACTTACAGATCTCAGTTATTATTTCCACCCCTTTGGATTTGCTTCTGCATTCAGGTGCCTATTCTGTACAGTTGGGTGTGAGTGCAGTTGTTGGGACCCAGTGGGATTGGGAAGAGGTTGCCAGCCCTGAAGAGCCTTCAGCACTTGCCTCAAGTCTGAGGTGCACAGATATGCAACTGACTTGCACAATTAATACACAAAGATCCACAGACTTGTGGAATATTCTGGTCACAAGGCTGCACTTTCATTTTCACTGCTTCACACTTAGCTAATTCCACTCCAAACAATCCATTCACTGAACCTCTTGGAACTTAGCCTTTCAGAGGTAAGGGGTTGGTTCTGTGTATATAAATTTGCAAAGGAACAATGGGATTAAGGTTTCTCCTCAGCTCTGTATGTTTATTCTATAACATTTTTCCTGTGAAGAAAAGGCATGTTATCTTTGCAGAAACAAATTCACACTTTTGAGAGCTGCAAAAACAAGCATCTTTGATAATATCTTGTTAGAAAAACTGCCCCAAATAATCTTACAGAAGCCTCTGGAAGAGCATGACATTGTGAATGGATTAATGGAATTCATTTACCAAAAAAACCACTGCATATTAAACCTCATGCTACGTAATTAAAAACAAATCCTTATTTCCTGATGAATAGCCTTTGGACTATAATGTAACTTAGCGTAGATTCTGGCGTATAAGATGACACCCCCCCCCCCAAATTGGCAGCTGCAATTTGGGGTTTCGTCTTATAAGCCCAGTTGCCTAATACACTGGGCTGCTCCATGCCGGGAGAAGGCTGCCCGGAGCAAAGCACCGCCCGCCGCCCCTGTTGCTGCTTCCGAAGTGGGCTCCACGCCAGGCCGCTCTCTCCCGGTGCGGAGTGGAGCCCGCCGCTACTGCGGCTGCTTTGGAGCTGCCGCAGCTGGAGCGGGGGGCGGATGTCCGGCGTAAAAGGCGACCCCCGACTTTTTAACCTCTTTTTCGGAGTTAAAAACTCGCCTTATACGCTGAAATTTACAGTAAATAGAAAACTGTCTTTAGAAAGACTTTTCCTCCCAAAGCATTTTATTTTTTAAAAATCTGATTTAAATTTTTTAAAAATCGGATTACAAAATAATAATAATAATAATAATATTTATTTATACCCCGCCCTCCTCAGGGCAGCTAAAACCAATAAAATTACAATAAAACATAATGGGGGGGGGAAACAAACAAACAAACAAAACAGTTTATAAAAATATGGGTTAAAATACAATTTAAAATGCAGCCTCATTTTAATAGTAGCCCATAAATCAACCATAACGGGAGGGAAACATAAGGGTCAGACTGAGTCCAAAGCAAAGGCCAGGCGGAACAGCTCCATCTTGCAGGCCCTGCGGAAAGATGTCAAGTCCCGCAGGGCCCTGGTCTCTTGGGACAGAGCGTTCCACCAAGTCGGGGCCACGGCCAAAAAAGCCCTGACCCTAGTTGAGACCAATCTAACCACCTTGCAACCCGGGACCTCCAAAGTGTTGTTATTTATGGACCTTAAGGTCCTCCGTGGGGCATACCAGGAGAGACAGCCCCGTATGTATGAGGGTCCTATCATTAATTTTTATCCACCCTGGTTCAGAAAACCAACCCCAAATTTACCCTCAACTCTACCCTCCTTTCCAGATGTTTGGGTTGCAACTCAAAATCACTTCCTACCTTGTGAATTCCTCATGGAGGTTGTTTGGCTCCGATGAATAGTATTTGATTCGAAAGTGCAACGTATATGGTGGCCCAACTAGATGAAGAAAGGTTTTTAAATGTTAAAAGCCAGAAGCCGTGCAGTAACTCATACAATACTCTATTACAACGAACGAAGGTATTTTGTGAAAGTGCTGAAGCCTTTGGCGTGAGCAGGGCTGATGTCACAAAGGCCCAGCAGTGATGCTGTCACAGACAGACTAGGCAGGGGAGGGGAGTCCAGGCAGCACCAGAGAAACAGGAGAGCTGAACCAGATGTAATGGGGGCAGCTGTGTTTGGTTCATCACAGATTTGCTGGGGGAGCCAAAAAGCTGCCTTAGTAGCGTTGGGAAGCAGCCCCTCTGATTCAGATCCACTCTGCCATTCAACTCTGCGCCCTATGGTTGGGTGCGTCCTGTAGAACGAAAAATACGGTAGATAAATAGGTTCCACTCTGGCAGAAAGGTAAACGGTGTTTCCGTGCACTGCTCTGGATCGCCAGAAGTGGCTTAGTCAAGCTGGCCAGATGACCCAGAAGCTGTAAGTAAAGCGAGATGAGTGCCGCTACCCCAGAGTCGGCCACGACTGGACCTAATGGTCAGGGGTCCCTTTACCTTTTACTAATTATATATATTTAGAATTTTATTGAAAATTAAGAACCTCTCCCTTTGTTCCTGGGAATGTACTGGTGAATATTTTTTCTTTGAACTTGGTGTTCTTTGATAGCTGACCTGTTTATAGGGGACTAGCTTGAAACATGGTGACTTAATTGGTCCTTTTGTTAACCTTAAAAATGTGTTCATCGTATTCTTTTTCATAATTGCCATTTGTGCCATCCTGTTCAGATGCCCTGGCTTTTGTATGAGTGTATGTGTGAGTGTGCAAGAGAGAGAGAGAGAGAGAGGGAGAATCTTTATGTGGGCTGTACTGCTTTAGAATGCAGTTAGAGGGCTCACGCGTTTGAATATTCCTTCATATTTAAAATAAATAAAATTAAAATTGCTTGATGCAGGAAACCAGATGTCAACAAAGCATGCTCTTGATATGCTGGTTTTCTAACATCCCTTCCTGGAGAAGACTTGGATATTTTTCACACCAGTAAGTTAAGCAAGAAAGCCTTTGCAGGGGTTTGCGGGTGGCAAGTAATGCAGCAAAAGACCCGTGAGAGTTTTGACCTGTTCACTTACTGCTTTCTGGGGAGAAATCCCAATTCAGTAAGAGGATCTAATGCACTGTAACATTTATTTTGAATGTTTAAAAAACATGGTTCAGGGACAGACCGGAAAGTGGTTTCATTCAAGTAAGTGGCAGAGCCTGACTTAACTTGTGATGGAGATGCCCGTTGAAACCATTTCAGTTGCTCTGGTGGATCATCTATACCAGGAGGAAGACAGATTGTGGATTATACTGGATCCCTCAGTAGCTTTTATACCTGGTATGCTTCAGGATAAGTTCTTGGGCTGGGGACTGGAGACACCATTTTTCTGTGATTTTCCACTCCTATCAGGGGGGCCAGTAACCTTGAGACTGGATTGCTGCAATGCACTTTATGTGGGGCTGCCTTTGAAGAGAGTCCAGAAATTGCAGTTAGTCCAAAACACTCTAGAGAGGTCACAAACAGGGACTGGACAAAGAAATCTTACTTTGCCTGTGTTGGTCTTAACGTTCATGGCTTAGGACCCAAATATTTCTTGGGCTGCCTTCTGCTCTTTTGATCTGTCCACTTCCTGAAAGTATTGTCTGGCACTTTTTGAGGGGTGCCCTTGCCTTCTGAAATATAGTGAGGAGCGAGCAGAGAGGATGCCTTTTCCTTTGGTGGCTCCTTGCCTTTGGAATACCTACTTCAAGGAAGTCCAGACCTTGTTGCCACCATTTAGGCAACCCCCACCCCACCCCACCCCCGGCATTTAAGAACTGCTACTGTAAGCATCTTTAACTCAGAGCAGTTTGCTTTTACTGTCTATTTGAACAGGCAGTTGCTGCTCCAGTTGCTTTAATTTTCTGTATTAGCTTGAGTTTGTTATGCTGTTGTACTTTCTCTTTACTACCTTTCTGTTAGCTGAAAGCGCAATATTGTGTTGAAGTTGTCAGATGTCAGTAAATAAATATTGTTTGTATGAAACATGCATGTAACTATATTTCCTCCTTTTTATGTAATCCTTTCTTGTAGAAACACGCAAAAGGGCAGGATTTATTTGACCAGATTGTGTACCATTTGGATCTTGTGGAAACGGATTACTTTGGCCTTCAGTTCATGGATACATCCCAGATTTTGGTATGTAAATGAGCTTTATTTTATGGTAATTATGGTGTCTAGAAGCATATACTAAAAGCTCTGATAAGGAAGCCCTTGTTTATATAATGTTGTGAAAGGTCAGAAAACTGGCACAAGTTTCAGAATTGCTCTGTGGAAGCTAGTGTGTCTTCAGTCCTTGGGTCTGGCTCTTATGCCAGTAAGATACATCTTGCATTTAGAGGTATGAGAAGTATTTTTACACCCTGGCTGCATTCTACTGAGAGAGGGTGTGGGATGCTATAGAAAGGTATTCTTTATTGGCTGTGTTTTGCATATTGCCTCCAGTGGGATGTAAGAAGCCAAATATGTAGTACAAGAATGAGGCCCAAGAGTTGGGATTCAAATGAGAAAGAAAGTGTGTCATTGCAGATTTGCTCTCCAGGACCCTCCACCTAGTGGGGGAAGTGATGAATACTGCTAGCACCTCTTTCCACCTGAGCAGAGCTTGCATGTTTTCCCGCAGATATGCAAGACTGATCCGTGCTCTGAGGCTCACTCTCTTTCTCCCTTTTTGCTCCCTGCAAAGAAGCCTTCTTATTAACTGTAGGGTGATTGGTTTGGTGTGGTGGTTTCCAGGGATCTTTCCACCAATGTGTGCTCCCCTTTCATCTGAGATTTTTGGTAGGCATGTTACAAAGGAAAAGGTATAGCAATGAGGTTGAGGGCTAATCTGAGCTATGTTATGTGGGATGGTTTTTCACTCACAACCGGAGGCACTTCAAAATCTGCTTGAATCTGTCACTTTCAAAGTCTGCCAGGAAGTCGTATGTGACTTGGGGTAAATCTACATCTTCAGTAGATAAACAAAGTACAGCTCTCTTCATCACAGAACCATTTCCGAGTAGGAAGACTTGGAGCACTTGTTTGTGTCATAAACTTCCTGCACGTTGAACAACTTTTGTGTCAAGGAAAGGCGTGGCAAAATAGGTGAGGTGAACTGAAATCCTTGCAGTGTAATGGCTTTGGCAGACCCTGAAGCTTCCCTGGCCTGTCTCTTTTGGGGTCTTTATGGCTTCAAGGCTGAGAAATTGCACCCACATACAAACTAGCTTTGAGTACAGAATAGCTCTGTTTCTTTAGCAGACTGAATTGCTCTTGGTATCAAATGGAAATTGTCCTGGCAGTTTAGAAGAATTGGTGCTTAGAGGGTAATCTGAGAATATCTGAAACTGTCACTTCCAAAATACCATACTAGCTTCTTTCTGAATAGAGAAGTCATTTACTTGAGATGCAATAACATTTTTAATTATCAGGCTTCAACTCTACAGAGGAAGAAACCAAAACACTTGGGATTCAATTTGTATCATCTGGCAGAGATGGCACAATAGAGATTTGCTAAAGCCAGAAGTTGCCTGAATGGCTTATTTTTTGGTAACTGAAGTGACAGTGTTCTTTGAATGAATAACAGCAAATAGTTGTGCTCCTCGGCCCCTGGGTGAATTGTATGCATTATCTTAAAGGAGATCTTGTAAAGCGCCTCCACCTCTAAAGGAGCCGTGTGTATTAAAAGTGGGCATTGCGTCCCCCCCCCATTTGAAGTGGCTGCTTCAGTTCATTGTTTCCCCGTTGTCATGCTATTTTAGTGCTGTGTTCTGTGTGTTCAGTTTTTAAAATAAATAAATGCAAACACACCTATATTTCATTTTGTTTATTTACAGTATTTATATTTATTTTCCCTTTTTTGGTGAGATTATCTGTTAAGATTTGAAGAGGAGCTCGTTGCACAATGAGAATGGGGATTAAAAAAACCCACAAAACCAACCAAAAACATTTGGGCTCTTCCTCTCTAATGTGGATGGAGCTTTTCTCCATCAGGCAACCTCACTCTGCTTGGTCCAGAGGTTGGGGAGGCACAGGGGATTGGGCTAGTATAGGGAAGGGAAGTTGGGGCAGGCACTCAGCAGCAAAGCAGCTCTGGACTGCAACCAAGTATGCAAACAGTGAAAGGTCTCCTTATTTTTTCAAGGTAGATTTCCCTTTCAGTTCTCCTGTTTTTGAGGGGAAGGCTTTACATGTTTCTCAGTACAACTTCTGAACACCCCCTCTTCCAGCTCTAAGCTGGGATGGGGAGTCTGTGGCCCTCTAGAGTGTAGTTGGGCTGCAGCTCACATAAGTCCCAGCCAAGGTAGCCAATGGCCAGGCTTTGTGGAAGTTCCAGTCCAACAGCATGGAGAGGGCCATAGGCTTCCCCACCCTGGTTTAGAGTGGGACGTGGGGGTGATCAGTAGTTGTACTGAGAAACCTGTAAATCCTTTCCCCACCCAAGCAATTCAGTACCTCTCACTTATCATATCCACATGTGTCGTAAGGTAATTTTTCTTTTTAAAAGAGGAAATTGAGCCTCCTCCATCTCTTAACAGTTGTGGCATATAAGGTTCGGCTCCAGACATTACCCAAGCCAAAGTCACATCTCTCAAGGAAAACAGACAAGCACTGCTAAGGACTGTGGAGATGGTGCTGTTTTTCTGGACTTTCAAAAAACATTAGATTTTTCTGTGGTGTAAAAAGTCAGAAATCCAGGGGATATGAAAGATGGTATTATACATGCCACATTTAAAAAGTGCAGTTATTCCACACAAATGCTTGGTGTGGAAGCAGCACATGGAAATGGTGCAAATGCTTGTTGAACATGGTATTCTTTGTATGTTTCTTTCTGAAATATTAAAAACGAGCAGAGTCCTTCCTTTTTAAAAAAACAACAATTTTCTTTTCCTAGCACTGGCTAGACCATTCAAAACCCATTAAGAAGCAAATCAAAAGTAAGTATGGTGAACCTAAATCTTGAGTCATTGCTAAATATTTCATATTTTTCAAATTACAGATTCACATTGCCCACTATTTGCCATGTTGCTCACTAGTTGAAAGGTGTTTGTGTGAGATCCCTAAGCACTCCCCTCCCCCCCCCGATACTGCCTCTTTCAGTAGTTTTCTCTTGATCAGATTAATGATATGCTGTTTGGTAGTTCCCCATCTGGGACCACAATGCAGAGCTGATGAAACTAAGCAGGTATGAACTTGATCACCGTCCACCAGGAGCTCTTAATTAAGTTTGATAAGGGCTTCCAGACTGCTTTCTGATAAGCAAGAATGCTTCGCTGATCTGAGCACCTAGATCCTGAGTGTGCACTCTCAGTTTAAATCATAAAAAGTGCCTGGTTGAATCAAGCTAATCCCTGGACTAGCAATTGACTGGTAGTTCTGTAGTGAAGTGCAGTCATCCTTTAGTCCACCTCTGCTCTTCTTACTCCGTATTTACTGAGCATTTGATATGTCCTGTGTCTCTGTGCTCTGTTGATAGTTAGTTGAATGTGGAAGTGGAGTGAATATACACCGGTAGAGTAATTTATATGCAATGTAAATGTGCACTTAGATGAGCCCCTTAAATTAAAAAATTACTTTTTAATTTAATAAAAAAATGTGCTTTTTAGAGCACATTACCAGACATAAATTTTCCATAAAAGCATTTACGATAGAGTACCTACCTAAGTCTCCCAGTTGAAGAGTATTTCAACCAGTGAAGTTCATGATCTATATTTCTTCTCCTTTAGCTCTTACACCCACGGCCCATTCTGTCCGCCATTGTTCGTTTCCTGCTTTGTCTGCCCATTCTGCCTTCAGTGTTGCCCTTTCCTTAAGCACCCCTCGGCCTTTCTGCTTCAAGCTGTTGCCTCCTCCACTCCACCTATCCTTTTCTTAAGATAAAACAAGATGTAATAGTAGCAACCCAACTTACTTGGAGTCCACTTTTGCAGAAGTGCTGTACTGCCACCTGAAATTTCACCATATCTCCAATTTTAATCCACTTTTTAAAATAAAAGTTTTCCTGCAGAAACCCCACTGAATGGATTGGCCTGATATTTGCCAGGCTTAATCCACTCCGTTTGAAGAGGCAATTTTTCGATTTATAGTCAAGGAAGGGAGAGAGAGGGAGCTTCAGATTTAATGGATCAGATTGGGATGACTAGTGAATGGAATGGCAGAGTGGATCTGAATCAGAGGGGCTGCTTCCCAACGCTACTAAGGCAGCTTTTTGGCTCCCCCAGCAAATCTGTGATGAACCAAACACAGCTGCCCCCATTACATCTGGTTCAGCTCTCCTGTTTCTCTGGTGCTGCCTGGACTCCCCTCTCCTGCCTAGTCTGTCTGTGGCAGCATCACTGCTGGGCCTTTGTGACATCAGCCCTGCTCACGCCAAAGGCTTCAGCACTTTCACAAAATACCTTCGTTCGTTGTAATAGATGTATTGTATGAGTTACTGCACGGCTTCTGGCTTTTAACATTTAAAAACATTTCTTCATCTAGTTGGGCCACCATATACGTTGCACTTTCGAATCAAATACTATTCATCGGAGCCAAACAACCTCCATGAGGAATTCACAAGGTAGGAAGTGATTTTGAGTTGCAACCCAAACATCTGGAAAGGAAGGTAGAGTTGAAAATAAATTTGGGGTTGGTTTATTAACCAGGGTGGATAAAAATCAATGGTTTGTTGTTGGTTTTTTTAAAAAAAAGATGAAAAAAATGATTTTTTAAAAATTTAAATCGGATTTTTAAAAATAAAATGCTTTTGGAGGAAAAATATTTCTAAAGATAGTTTTCTATTTAAGTTACATTATAGTTCAAAGGCTATTCATCAGGAAATAAGGATTTGTTTCTAATTATGTAGCATGAGGCTTTACATGCGGTGTTTAAATTTTTTGGTAAATGAATTCCATTAATCCATTCACAATGTCTTGCTCTTCCAGAGGCTTCTGTAAGATTATTTGGGGCAGTTTTTCTAACAAGAAGATATTATCACAGATGCTTGTTTTTGCAGCTCTCAAAAGTGTGAATTTGTGTCTGCAAAGATAACATGCCTTTTCTTCACAGGAAAAATGTTATAAAATAAACATACAGAGTTGAGGAGAAAACCTTAATCCCATTGTTCCTTTGCAAATTTATATACACAGAACCAAGCCCTTGCCTCTGAAAGGCTAAGTTCCAAGAGGTTCAGTGAATGGATTGTTTGGAGTGGAATTAGCTAAGTGTGAAGCAGTGAAAATGAAAGTGCAGCCTTGTGAGCAGAATATTCCACAAGTCTTGGGATTTTTGTGTATTAATTGTGCAAGTCAGTTGCATATCTGTGCACCTCAGACTTGAGGCAAGTGCTGAAGGCTCTTCAGGGCTGGCAACCTCTTCCCAATCCCACGGGGTCCCAACAACTGCACTCACACCCAACTGTACAGAATAGGCACCTGAATGCAGAAGCAAATCCAAAGGGGTGGAAATAATAACTGGGATCTGTAAGTCCTTGAAGTGCTTGCAGGTCAACTAAGAAGAGTTCACTGCTTCCAGGCCCTTCTTCCCGGGGCTGGCCTGACATTCTCCAAACAAGAAAGTCTCTCACCACATCAGTTAACAAACATGGATACATATGCTGTAATATTATTGTTTTAGTTAAATAAATTGTTTAAATCGTTATTAAGGAAATGATTATTTTTCTCCTTCCAATAAAGTGCAGGAGAAAAGTTGTCCAAATATAAACAGTTAAGTTATGAAACCTCACAGTAATTTCATAATTATATATTTCTAATTGTATAACCAAATCAGTAATTTTTGATATAACTGTAAAAACTACTTAGAAAATTTATTATTCCAAAAATGAAACCTTCATCTGGTTGTAAATATTAAGATTATACCAGCAAGAATGAATCTTTCTGGAAAAAAATGATTTAAATAAAGTCTTACTGACTAGAGATTTAAATCATTATTTAAATTGTGATTTAAATCAATATGATTTAAATCAAATCCACCCTGTTATTAACAATGTTCTTTTTAATAGCATCATGTGCAGCTTTTGCCTAAATGTGTGTTAAGCGAGCTGCCACCAAGTATGGGATCTTTTGCATTCTTATTGAGTTTGGTGTCTGTAGGGACCATGTTCACAGAAAATTGACAGAATTTAGCAATGGTTAAAAAAATTCTGCGCTTAAGTGACTGTATCTTCAGAATATCAAGGACTGATTCTGTCTTAACTGTGGTTAAGCTTCATTCTAGTACCTTCTTTCTCCCTGGTTTATCTGTGACACTAGACTCCATGTTCATTAAACGTAGGCACTGGGAATAACTAGCCACTGCCAACAGCTAAGGAGGGCAGCTCTCAGATCTCCTTATCTTTCACACGGCTAAAGGATGCTGGGTCACTGTCTGTATCAAGAGAGTCTTATAAAGCAGCTGGTATCCAGTTTCTTATAAGATTTTGACTTATTCTTTCCTATATAGTCTCTGGAAAACACATGCAAGGTGATGTCTTGTCCTTCCTGCATTCTGTAATTCTAAAACTGGAGGCTTAATTTTGTCAGAGGTTGGTTTGGATGGGATGGTGCTGTTGCCTCATGGCAGGGAGCAAGGATCACACTTGTCAGATAGGAAGGGTCCCTCTTTAAACAGATGGTGCTTTAGTACATATCACACACTCGCTCTCATCTCCCCGAGAGAGGAAAATAACCTGACTGATGGGTTTTCTGTCTGTCTTCTCCAAAGACAGGTAATCCACCCCACCCTGGTCTGGAGTCCAAACCATGAGAGAAGCATCTAGGAGTGGCATTTTCAGGTCAGGTCATGTTGGAGAAGGTGATACAGTAGCATTCTCCCTACCTAGTTTCCTTGTGCCTTGACTTTTTCCTCACTAGTTCCATTATAGTACACTGAGATGTCTCCTAGGTTCTGGTTCCTTATAAGAAAACTTGGATACCTCTTGCCTTACCCAGCATCCCCTGCTCCTGCAAAAGCTGTCAGGGTTTGAGAGTTGTCCTCTTGATTCACCTGGAATGTGAAGCCCCTGGCTCATCTCCTGTGAAAGGGTAGCAGCAGCCGGCATGGCCTGGTTGTTCATTCTTCTCTGAGGCCTAGCTAGCTAGAGTCTAAGTGGCCCAAACAGAAACCCAACTCTCCCTCTTCACTCGCCCAGAGACCCAGCAAGTGAGCAGGCAATGCAGCGGGTGGGTGGACACAACCTCCTCTTTCCCCACCTTTGCCTGATGTGTGCCTTCTTTTTCAGGAGTGTGGGTAAATATTTCTTACTTCTTCCTCAGAGCCTGGCTATGTTCGGTTTCTGGAAGAGAAGGGAGGGCCAGATTTGGCATAGCAGGCCTTTCCTTACTCTTCCTTTGACCAAGCCAGTAACTTCATTGTTGGATGAGTAGGGCAGAGTGGGAATGAGGAAAGAGCTGCAGTGCTGTGTTCCTAAACCTGTCAAATTTGATGAACATTTAGCTTTAGGTATATGCAAGTTCCTAACGTTCTGTTACACTGTAGCACGACCAAAAAAAGCAGAGGAGTGAGAGGTGAGGAACTTCCAGATGTTGTTAGACTCCAACTTCTACCATCCTTAACCATTGACTATGCTGGCTGGGACTGGTGGGAGTTGGAGACCCATGATACCTTAACAGCCACAGGTTCTCCATCCTTGAGCTTTGCCAATAAGAGTGGGCTCTGTCACCAATGACTGCCGTTGAATTCTGTGGAGCAAAGTAAATAAACTGCTATCTGGGACACACCTGAAAGGTGGGGGTAAAGCCTGGGCCCTTGAAATACGGTACAGAGTCACTTTCTCTGCATGCAGATAACCTGTCACAGTGGCTGGCATTTCACTAGTCAAATGATAAAATAAATTGTGTGCTATTATGGTGAACTGGGGTTCTATAGTTGGACTTCACAGCTTTGGGGATACTGGAGGCTGCTGAATCTCCTCAGCATCTGCTGGAGTAATAGGAAAGGGGTGCTTTCTTTTGGCCTAAAAGTTTATATAACTAATTCATACCTAACAAGGTCAGTAAGAAACATCCATGAGTGGAATAAGTTCTGGTTATGGTTCTTGTATGGAACATACAAATCTTCCAGAAGTCATGGAATGCAGGCAGTTCACACACTACTCTGAAATAATACATTTGGTTTTATTTGAAGTGCTTTTGGTGTGGGTATGAGAACTGTTGCTAGGACCTTTTTAAAAAGTTGTGATCCAAAAGGGTTTTATTGTTTTACAGGGTGGGGAACTCTTGGGAAACATGATTGATCTTTTTTCTTTTTCTTGTGTATTTGCTAGGTACCTGTTTGTATTACAGCTGCGGCAAGATGTTCTTTCGGGAAAGTACGTTCCTATTTTTCTTTTCGTATTTCTTGAACCCTTGTCCCGTTTTTCAGAAGGAGATGCTCAAAGTAAAGTGTATCAATTGAAAGCTTAAACCTAATAAGAGGGAACTCAAATTCTTAATCACTCAAAGCACTATCATCACCTGACATAACATTTCATTAAGTAATAAAATAAGGGTGGCTAATCTTTGTTCCTCCAGATGTTGCTGCACTCCAATGCCCATCACCCCTGACGTCCATACAGACGGGCTGTCTGAGTCCAGCAACATCTGGGAGCCCTGAGTTAGCCCACCTATGCAAAAACACTTCAAGTCACTTGACAAGAGTGAGAAACCTGCTGTTGGACTCCGTCATTCTCAACCAGCATGGCCAATGACCTGGAGTGATGGGAACGGAAGACAAAAGTGTTCCATCTTCCTCTTCTGGTGTGTCTGTATGTGTCTATGTTAAGTACCTTCCCACACTCAGATGACACTAATCTGATCTGAGCTAAGATGAAAGGAAGGTTTGCACATCACTGCTCTGCATATTGGGGAGCAGGTGGTGCTGTGGTCTAAACCACTGAGCCTCTTGGGCTTGCCGATCGGAAGGTCGGCGGTTCGAATCCCCACGACAGGGTGAGCTCCCGTTGCTCTGTCCCAGCTCCTGCCAACCTAGCAGTTCGAAAGCACGCTGGCACAAGTAGATAAATAGGAACCGCTGCGGCGGGAAGGTAAACGGCATTTCAGTGTGATCTGGTTTCCATCATGGTGCCCCATTGCACCAGAAGCAGTTTAGTCCTGCTGGCCACATGATCTGGAAAGCTGTCTGTGGACAAATGCCGGCTCCCTCGGCCTGAAAGCGAGATGAGAGTCTCAAGCCCATAGTCACTTTTGATTGGACTTAACTGTCCAAGGGTCCTTTATCTTTTTTACCTTTATATTGGGGCTTGTTATTGTTATTATTATTAATTTAATTTATATACTGCCCTATACCTGGAGGTCTCAGGGCGGTTCACAGAATAAAATCAAAATATAAACCCACAAAATACATAATCAAAATGAAAACAACAACCCAATAACTCCACCCCCAAAACCCACATTTTGAAAGGATATAGGACCCTCACAACATTTAAAAGTATGGCAATGAACAAACCTGGATAAAGGCCTCTTGTTGGAAAGACCATGATCTCAGAAATGTCTGCAGCAATATTTATTGGCAGCCAAATTGGCTGAGTGCCTTTCTGATACAAAGACAAAAATAGCGTTGAAATAAGAGTGGAAGGGGGGAATTAGCTTTGGTTATTGAGCAGATGTAACACTAGGGCTTCACCTTCTACAAGGGAAAAGCCTGTCCTCTTTGCTGAGTTTCATATTCTTTCTTCTGGGTGCTGTTTCCACTGATGCGCTTCCACCAGAATGTGGCTTGTGCACCCCAGGGCCACTGTGGCTTTCTGGATCAGCCTCTTGGTCAGAGTCTGTGTTTGGATGCATGGATGAGAGAGCTTTATTTCAACAGCAAAGACTATATCATGAAGGCTATCTAATAATAATAGAAATATGTTTTTACTTCCATCTTTCCACTAAAAAAGCCCTCAAGCCAGCTTGCAAACACAGTTAATAAAATATAAAAATGCAAACAATAACTAAGATAAATTTGAAAACCATAACAAAATACAAAAAAAGAAATGCAGGGAAAGAACAGTCATGGCCAGTAAATATTAATTGCTATTACATGCTTAAGCAAACAGGACCAAATTATTCTGGCCTCTAAAAGGTGCTGTTGGTTTGCTTGGGGAAGGGCTATTGCCTGTCAGGGGCTGGACTCAGGGGGGCCACCCCCCTCCTCCTGAACCCGCTCGAGAACAGGAGGACAGTATAGATTTAGAACTGTGGTTTGCAGAAGGACATAGTTCAGAGACTGCAGAGGGGGAAAGCTGGGAAATATTGGGAGAGGAACAACAGAAAGAAGAAACACTGGGGCAGAGACAGCTGACCAACTCCGTGTCTTTGGAGAGCATTCCTGAGCCCTCCTCTCCCAGGACTAGGCGTGCATTGAGGGTAGGAGAGCAGAAAGCTCAAGGGCAGAAAGCTCAGCTTAGCCAGCACAGGAATGACACAGGATAAGAGAGACGGAGGGGGTTGGGCTTTACTCGGAGCAACGCCATTATAGAATAAGGACTACATTCCTTTCTCTGTGTGAATACGGAATAAATCACGTGGTAAGGACTCTTCGTGTTTATCTGCTTTTTGGCTGCCACCGGGGAAGGGACAAGATTCCCTGAACCTTGACATTGCCAGAGGAAAGGTATGCTTTCTGGAAGCCGTGCCCCTGCCAACTGTTGGAAGGAGGTAGCAGCTTGGCAAGAGCCTCAGATGAAGATCTGAGTTGACAGACCAGTTCAAGGGAGGAGAAAGCAGTTGTAGAGTGCAAGTGAAACTTTGTCTCTCTGTGTTACGGTCAACATGAATAGCAGATGTCATCCCAAATGGAGCCTTTACTACAAGTCTCTGCTCCAAAATGTATTTTTGAAAAGGAAGTGATACCTTTAAAAAAAAGCCAGTGGAAGTTTAACTGGTTTCCACCTGTATCTGATAAAAGTGGAGAGTTTTGCAGAGCAATCCTGAGTGTATTTATTCCTATTCTGCCCTGCATGCAATCCTAAGCAAGTCTATTCAGAAGCGAGTCCTGCTGAATTCAGTGGGAATTACTCCTAGGGAAGTATGTTTAGGATTGCAATGCACCTTTCTCCCTTGTAAGAGCTCATTCATGCTTTCCTTTACTCCATGTGTCTAGGCACAGGGCCAGGCTTTCCAGGTCTGTGTCCGAGGGGTTTTGGTGTTTTTTGGTCCCAGCGCTTTCCCCAGGAAAACCCACGTTTTACCACTTAATTGGAGCAAATGGCAATTGGGTTTTCTGCCGTTTTAGTGGCAAAATGCAGTTCTGCCAGTGGAAAGCTAGGTGCTAAGGATTGCAGCCTTGGTCAACAACAGAGAGCCTTTCTCTGTAGAGTCCTTGTGGGAAAGTTTATCTTTCGTCACGAGCTTTTGAAAGGGACCCTTTTTGATTGGTTAATTGTTACATGGAGTGTGTAAAATCCTTTGAGCGACTTCCTTCTTCCTCATGGAAATAAAGTAACATGTTATATTTGCAGCTAATAGTAAGTATTTCACCTTTCGTTTTGAAAGGGCATGAGAAGCTCTTACATGCTAAGATTAGGCTTGGCAGTGGTTACACTGTTATGCATGTAATTATTTGGTGTGGGGGCAGGGGAGGTCTGAATAACTGGTGTAACAGGAGTTTGCTCTGTTTCCATAGAAGGGAAACATGAATCAGGGACCATTAAGTGGGCTTGGCAAGTCACCCTCACTCCTGATCTGGCATGTGCAGAATGGGAAAATGACAAGGCTTGTACCTGCTGTTTAACCAAGCTTGGCTCTACACGGGTGGTAAATCCATCTCTGAGTTGTACCCCTTCATCCTGTCAGTGGGAGCTCATATGGCCAAATGATTCTCGACACAGAGCAGTTTCCTGCACATAGAAAATTAGCTTATGGAGACGGCAAGGCCAAAAACTTGCCCCCTTGAATACTAGTTTTCTGTGTGCACAAAGTAGTAATACCCAAGCATAGAGTTAGCTCCTCACAAGGTAGTGGAAGGGACAGGGGTGTTGCATGCTCTGGCAGCCACAGCCAAGGCCAGCCAAAAATTATTTATTTAAGCATTTCCATATTCATGGATATGGCGTTTTAACATTGCAGGAGAATTCATAAAAGGTTTTTTAAAATGGTTTCACTTGTAACTACTGTAATTGGATTGTGTATCAAATCGTTTGCAGTTGGCCACTTTGAATGTCATTTAAGAGAAATAATATGAAATATTTTAATTAATAAATAATAATGTTGAGTTCAATTGATGGAGGGGAGGGGGGCTTCTTTGTGAGGGATTATTGTTGTTTACTGAAATATTTGTATCTTTCTTTACAGATTGAAATGCCCTTATGAAACAGCTGTAGAACTCGCTGCTTTGTGTCTCCAAGGTGTGTCCCAGGGTTGGTTGCTCATTCACATATGGCCGCCAAAGGCCACATGTCAGAGCTATGGTGGTGCCTGGAACTGCTGCAGACAGAGTAGACCTACATACTGCCTGTTTGAACTTTACTTGAACTGAACTTTAAGGGGGGGGGGAGTAATAGGCTCCGTAGTTCTTGTCTTCCAAGAGAAGGCAGTCTTTCTCTTTCCCAGTAGCCTTTGCCTGTCAGAAAGTCTGATAGAAACTCTTCTGCAGCCTGTGAAAACTCTCCCATAGTTGCACGTTAATTGCTGACAGGGGACTGACAGCTAAAACTCATGCATGTATGTATGTATGTATGTTAGGCTTCAGTTCCTGTCCCAAATCGCTAACCATGTTTCTATGAAATAATGCTTTCACAGAAATAGTAAATGGCTTGGTTGTAATACTTAAATTTGTTCATTTGAAATAATCTGAATTGGCTAAGTGCAAACAAGAGAGGAGAAAATATATATATACAGTGAGGGGGGAAAGTATTTGATCCCCTGCTAAATTTGCCCATTTGCCCTCTGATGAAGAAATGACCAGTCCATAACTTTAATGGTCATCATCATCATTAATCTTTATTACAGTCCAGAGACCCAACAAATCATTACAAAGCAATACACAATTCATACAGCCTACCTTCAGGTTAAACAAGCATTTTGTTTAGAATATAGGGAAACTTTAATGGTAGGTTTATTGTAGCTGTGAGAGACAGAGTAACAACAGGAAAAACCCCCAGAAACCCAGAAGACAAAGTCAGAGAGTGATGTGCATTATAATGAGTGAAGTAAGTATTTGATCCCCTGTCAACCAGCCAGATGTCAGGCTACCTGGTATCTTCACTGTATGTAACGAACTTAGATTAGAAGCACCTGCTGTAAGGGAGAGGTCTTACCTGTAATCCCAGCTCGTTACAGTACCTGTACAAAAGACACCTGTCGACAGAAGCAATCAATCCAGCAGATTCCAAAGTAGCCATCATGACCAAGACCAAAGAGCTGTCCAGTGATGTCAGGGACAAGATTGTAGACCTGCACAAGGCTGGACTGGGCTACAAGACTATTGCCAAGCAGCTTGGTGAGAAGGTGCAATAATTCACAAATGGAAGAAACACAAAATAACTGTCAACCTCCCTCGGTCTGGGGCTCCATGCAAGATCTCATCTCGTGGAGTTGCAATGATCAGGAGAACGGTGATAAAGCAGCCCAGAACTACACAGGGGGAACTTGTCAATGATCTCAGGGCAGCTGGGACCATAGTCACCATGAAAACAGTTGGTAACACACTACGCCGTGAAAGACTGAGATCTTGCAGAGCCCGCAAGGTCCCCTTGCTCAAGACAGCACATGTACAGGCCCGTCTGCAGTTTGCCAATGCACATCTGAATGACCCAGAGGTGAACAGGGTGAAAGTGTTGTGGTCAGATGAGACCAAAGTCAAGCTCTTTGGCATCAACTCACTCGCCATGTTTGGAGGAGGAGGAATGCTGCCTACGACCCCAAGAACACCATCCCCACCGTCAAACATGGAGGGGGACATATTATGCTTTGGGGGTGTTTTTCTGCTAAGGGGACAGGACACCTTCACCGCATCGAAGGGACGAAGGACGGGACCATGTATCGACAAATCTTGGGTGAGCACCTCCTTCCCTCAGCCAAGGCATTGAAAATGGGTCAAGGATGGGTATTCCAGCATGACAATGACCCAAAACGCACGGCCAAGGCAACAAAGGAGTGGCTCAAGAAGAAGCACATTAAGGTCCTGGAGTGGCCTAGCCAGTCTCCAAACCTTAATCCCATCGAAAATCAGTGGAGGGAGCTGAAGGTTTGAGTAGCTACACATGAGCCTCAAAATCTTACTGACTTGGAGAGGATCTGCAAAGAGGAGTGGGACAAAATATCTCCTGAGATGTGTGCAAACCTGGTGGCCACCTACAAGAAATGTCTGACCTCTGTAATTGCCAACAAGGGTTTTGCCACCAAGTACTAAGTCATCTTTTGCAAAGGGATCAAATACTTATTTCACTCATTATACTGCACATCAATCTCTGACTTTTGTCTTCTGGGTTTCTGGGGGTTTTCCTGTTGTTATTCTATCTCTCACAAGTACAATAAACCTACCTTTAAAATTATGGACTGGTCATTTCTTCGTCAGAGGGCAAATTGGCAAATTTATAGCAAGGATCAAATACTTTCCCCCCTCACTGTACAATACCAATAACTGTTGGGATAAAGAATGAATCTTGCTATCAAGGAAATTAAGAAATGATCTGTTCATAAAATGCAGTTGTTCTAGAGATCTTTCAAATAAGAGAAAAATGTGATGTTCTTCACATAGTTGCTCTTTTACATTCTCTCCCCGCCTCTTGAAAAGAGATCTGTGCATTCAAAAAATGCGTAAAGTAGGCCACCCAGACACGCCCAGCACAGCACCCAGCAGAGGCGCCCCTTGGCACCTGTGCATTTGGTACACAGCTCTTTCGTACAAGGGGGTGGGATCCAAATCAACTCGTGTGTGCAAGGTTGAATGCTCAGCTGGTGTGACTTGGCTCCTGGGCACGAGCAGCAGGGAGCCTGGTGACTGAGAGCAAAGCTGCTCCCTCCCTTAGCATTTGAGGGGTGTTCTTCCTTAGGGCAAGAGGTTGTTCCGCTTAATCTAATGGCTTTTTCCCAGTGAAATTATTTATGTTATATATGCTCTTAATACTCATAATAAATCCAGGGGTACCCAGTGAATTTGTGTTACAAATCTGAGTAATACCTTTTCCCACAGACCAGAATATCTATATGCTAACTTTCTCTGTTGCTTATTGCTCTCTTGCTCTGAATTTGTTTAAGCTGGAAAACTTAAATGGAGGTGTTTTCTAATAACGTCATAGCTTGGAAAAGATAGTAGTGTTTATAATCTACTTTGATGTGATATCTTATTTGGAATTTCCAACTTTTGACAGCTGAGCTTGGCGAATGTGAGCTCCCTGAACACACTCCAGAACTTGTTTCAGAATTCCTATTTACTCCTAATCAAACTGAAGCAATGGAATTTGAAATCTTTCAGAAGTGGAAAGAATTCAGGTATGGTGGGAAGATACCTGATTTTATCTGCAATTTAGCATGTGATGAGAGAGAGAGAGAGAGAAAGAGAGAGACCAGCAAAGAAGTGAATTGAGCTCTCTGTCAGAACTGGCCCCACCACTATCACTGGAGAAACGAGAAGCGGCTGCAGTTTCTGCTTCCAGCAAGATCACGCCAGTGCCTTCAACTGTGCAACCCCAATAAGCAAGGCTGTGGCGGAGGGGCGGTGGGGAAGATGGCACCTTCCCATTTTGCCTCAGGTGGTGAAACGGGATGGGCCATCCCTGCCAGGAGGGAGAGTGACAAGGTGGTGAGGAGGTCAGTGTGGTGCAGGCACACTGGCAAAGCCAATTTGGTGCTAGTGTTCCCACATTCCCACACTCATCTCCCCACCGCTTCGTCCACCTCCCACCCAGCAAATGGGAAGGTATTGCTACAGCTCCATCCCACTAGATAAATAGCTTCTGGTCTCTGTAGTAAGACATACAAAGGGCTTGTCCACACCTCCGCTTGTCCCATGCCTAGAAAGCATGGGTCTGCTTGACCCATGGTTTTCTGCTTGACCCACACTTTCTAGGCCCGAGTCCAAGCCTTTCTCCCCTTGCTCCTCTCCTTTCCCAGGGAAAACCCGCTCTTTAGCTCTAAATCGGAGCAAATGTCAATCTGGAAAAATACTAGAATTGCCATTTGCTCTGACTGAGGGCTAAAGAGCAGTTTCTCCCAAAGGAAAGCATCGGGACCAGAGGAAGTGTGAATAAACCCAAAACTGAATCCCTAAGGCTTGGTGGAAGGAAAGAAGCAATACCTCTGATTAAGAACTGTTTTTCTCCCTTCCATTTTCCTAGGGGAAAGAGCCCTGCACAGGCAGAAATGTGCTACTTGAACAAAGCCAAATGGCTAGAAATGTATGGGGTGGATATGCATGTAGTTAAGGTAAGAGCTTCTCCCTGCCATTTATTTATGCAGAGGGTGGGAAAGAGGTTCACCGTGTGGCTCTAAGACATTGTGCTTAAAAGCAGCTTCTTTCACCTGTTTCACTTTCTGAATGTACGTCTTGCAGATGATTTTTTGTGTTTGATATAACATCATTTGTTTGCTTGTAGGGAAGAGATGGTTGTGACTATGCTCTTGGGTTGACACCAACAGGGATCTTGATCTTTGAAGGGGCAAACAAAATAGGTTTGTTTTTTTGGTGAGTAATTCCTACTTACACTTACTGTTATTCAATACTAATCTCTCTCCACCGCCTGAAAAAACGGAGAGATTGACACTCCCCCAGCTCTTCAGATTAGCATGATAATAATAAAACAGCATTTATATATAAATATGTTACATAATGTTTTGTTTCTCTTGAGAATTAACCGTTTACGTCATCTGTCTTCTATGTGATCAGGCCTAAAATCACAAAAATGGACTTCAAAAAGAGCAAGCTGACCCTTGTGGTGGTCGAAGATGATGATCAGGTAATGAACCCAACCTAGCAATATCCAGAGTCCCAGGAGTTCAGCAGTTGACCCTGAGAGATTCAGCACATTGACAGCCCAAGTTTTCTTTCTGTGACATTGGTTGGCAAGCTGATTGCATGAAAACTTACAAGGCTTCCATTTTTTGTCTTTCAGGGTAGAGAGCAAGAGCACACATTTGTTTTCAGATTAGACAATGCTAAAACGTGCAAGCATCTCTGGAAATGTGCAGTGGAGCACCATGCCTTCTTTCGGTTGCGCACACCTGCAAACAGTAAATCTAGCCGGTCAGATTTTATCAGGCTGGGATCCCGCTTCCGATTCAGGTACCTATTTGCATATGCACCCTTGCAAATAAGGCCACAGAAGCTGCTAAGTCACAAAAATTTGGCTTGTTTGTTTGCTTGTTTTAATAGGAGTCTCTCTCCTGCCAGACACATTGGCAGTCTTGGATAAGTAGGAATGGTGTCTGGTTCCTTCTAGCAATTGGAGAGGGTGAGCACGAGTAGGGAAACCCTCCGGAGGTCCTGGAGGTCTTGGCTTCGCTTCTGCTTTGCAAGGCAGCTCTTTGCACATATTCTGAGGACTCTTTTGAGGATGAGGTTTTTGTAATCTGGTAATTTAGGGTTGCAGGACAGGCACCCCCCCCCCAATATATACACCTATACTCAAAAATCTGCACTGGGTGCTAATTTGTTACTGGGCCAAGTTCATGCTATTGCTATTGTTATGGCCAGCTTTGGGTCCAGTTTTCTTAAGGTTGCCTTTCCCCATATGAGCCCATTCAAATCATTTTATCTGTGGAACTTGTACTTTTACAAGTGACACGTGATGTCCATTCTGCATTCGTGAGGTGTTGTTCCTTTAGTGTAGCAGCACCTGTATCCTTGACAGGTGTCACTCACAGTATGATATGCAGGCTTATGCAGAATTAATTGGTCAGTTGAGACTCCAATGATTTATCCACTTAAGATTTCTGAAACTGGGTGATAGCCAGACTTGTAGCTATATTGATTGCTATGAAGTGCCCTTGTTGTCTTTAATTTTCTTGGGGAAAGAGATGATTTTTGAAGCCACAAATAAATGTAAAATACAGTTGTACTAAGCTAAAGTCTTGGTTTTGCATACAGCATTTATATGACTGTGTAGGTTTTGTGTTTTGAGGATGGGAGCTGTTAGTGAAGTAAACTAAGGCTGAAAACTTAAGCCCTCTTACCTGGAGGAAAACATTGTTGAACTTGCTGGGACTTGCTTCCAAGTAGATTATATAGAAATGCGCTGTAAGTCTTTGTTACTTCTTATTTTTTTAAGTGGTCGAACAGAATACCAGGCAACACGTGGATCCAGACTACGCAGAGCCAGTACCTTTGAAAGGAGGCCCAGCAAGCGATACCCATCCCGAAGGCATTCAACTTTCAAAGGTTAGAATTTGCAGCGAACTTGCATGCCATATTCATTAAGCAAATTGCTTAACTAAAATTAGAGCTTATTTTCTCCATTGCATCTCACATACCATAATAGCTTTGTTTCATCACACCATGAAGAAATGCAAGGGGATGTCCTAAAACAAAGTTCCCCTTCCACTTTGTAGTGCTCCTGTTTGCTAGTTTGTTCTTAAATCTCCCCTCCCAATTATATTTTGTTCATTTTGTTTTGTTTCTGTCAGTTTCCTTTCCCGCACTCATTATTTTTCTGGTTTATTGCTTCTCAGAAGCACTTGAAAAGCCCCAAGTTCAGGCAAGGTACTTCTCTGTACGTTGTTCATCAAATACAACAGAGGCCTTAAAGAAGTCGACAACACCTACAGTCATGAAGAAGCGGCACTCATGAGACAGACCATAGTTTAGCATGATGAGAGCAAGGCACAGCAAGCCTTGTTCTCCTCCCCTCTTCTCGCACACCTGCGAGGAAGAGCTCAGAGGATTTCAGTTCTAATTTCCATTAACTACAGTTCAGTATGACACTGGAACCCTAAATTGTGGGTAATGTTAGCTATGGCTTGTTTAAACAAGTCAACTTCATAACCCCTGGTTTGAAGTTTGTTTCAAACGAACCATAGTTAAGATTCATGCTGTGTCTGGATTGAGTGACACAAGAAGTTGTGATTAATCTAAGTTGGAAGTGAAAGCTTCTGAACTTCTTGTGGTCTCACCAGAGGATACAAGTGAACACAAGTCAGAGGCTCTCTGCAGCTTTTTCTTGTCGTGCTAACCTATGGCATAACGTGACATCTGGACACCATCAGCGTCTTTTGAAGGTGGACCCTAAGCATAGCTGCATTAGCTTTTTGGCACAATCTTCAGTCACAGAATCTCCTTTTCACCCACAGAAGTGGGCTGTACATTAAACTTCCTTTGTGTGCCTAGGTTGGGAAGTACAGAGAGGAGAGTTCAGTTGCAGGTGCCTCATTCATCTCCACCCTGTTTTCATGAGTAGGAGTTGGATGGAGAGGAGACCATGGGGGCTGTACATGAAAACTTAGGGCAGACAGACCCACTTATTCCCCCTTCTGTCACTTGCTGCCCCTTATGTAATGCTGGAATGTTATCCTGTATAAAAAACAGAGGCTTGGTTTTTTTCAAAAATAGTGATGTTTACCCTTGCTTTTCTGTGCCCTCTCTTAGCAAGCAACACTCTCAAAGCACCCCAGATTTGGTAAGTGTGATCCATCTTTCACATTAATTATTTGGTTTGGCATCTGCTATCCAAGCTGCCCCTAGATAAATGTACTGCAAACCTGCTAGTGCTGGAACTCCTAATATGTCCCATTAAGGGATCCGAATAGGTACAGAAAACATTTTACAAGCAGTGACGCTCCTCATCTCTTAACTCAGAATACAGGCATGATGTTCCTGAGCACTTAATTTGTGGTTCAGAAGCAGGCAGCAGGATCATGTGCTTCTCCAGTGTTTGAATCCTCCCTCCCCAACATTCAAAACTGATTTGAACCATTGCAACTGAATTCAGTTGGGAATTGTTTATGCTGTAAACTGTCCTTGGATACTTGGAGGGGTATAAATTTAATAAATCAGTCTTCCAAAGCCACTGGCTGAGGCAAACTTGGAATGTTTTCGGATGTTCCATCTGCCTCAGAAGTTTCACTTCACAAGGTTGAGGCACAGGTGGCAATATGCGGTTGGAAGGAGAATGGAGCACATCATCATGTTGGTCAGCTGCGTGAGAGGGATTGTTTTGCAAAATGTTTTGCAAAAGCACCTCCGCAAGTTGCAGTCTCTCGAGCTGCCATTCTAATAGCTACACTACTTAAAACATAATTCAAACCTGCTCGCTAAGATCTTAACGGCATTTCCCCCCCTTGCGTTAGCTTGCCTTGTTCATTAATAAGATAAGCTTCTGTGTTATACTTTATGAGAACTATGCAAAAAATAATAATACCATTTTTGTTTTAGCACTAAAAATAACCAAGAAGTCCATAACTATCAGGTAAGAGGAATACTGAATTCTTATTTTTCTGTTACCTTAGTTATAGCACCAACAGTGTCATGATCAAAGTGACTTGCTTGCTTGCCGTACCATTTGTGAATATTTTTGGTGTGCTAATGTCATGTGCCTTTCATATATTTGTATGTTTGTGAAGTATGTTGGCTAAAAGTGAAGCCGTATCTGAAAGCTGGCATTCAAGGGGATTTCTTTAAAAAATAAAATTAGAAAGTTTGATTAAGATTAAATTTATGTTTCAAATCTATGCATTGTACACATACACTTATTAGAGAGCAATGAGAAACTGAGATTATAAGATTTCACCTATGAAATGTGTGAAAACGCTTAAACAAATCAAAATCACTTGGAGGATGCTGTCAGTCTACCAGTTGTGTGGTTCCACTTTGGACGCAGTGGCGATACATAACAGATGTACATAAACTCAAGTACTCAGAAGAAAGAGAAGTGAGAAACGGTCACAGCAGCCTAATGAGATAGTTGGCCGATCAGCCACAAAAGTAGTATCAGTGTCTCATTTAGATTTCAGACTGGATTGATACATACAGCATAAGGGAACTGTGAGGAGGCAGAATGCCTGTACTACTTCAGATTACAGGAGAGGGAATCGCTTTGTTAAAAATGCCTGTCCACCACTGCAAATATAAAACTAGCACAGAAGGAAGAAATATTCTTGCCTAATTCCCCTACTACTATATCCAGTTGTAGGGAAGCCTTTTATTTATTTATTTTGCGTTCAGAACATGATCACCCAGAGTCTGAAGTGATACAGTTCATTCTCAGATCTCGGGACTCCCTACTTTACTCCTAGTCAAGGGCACACCTGGGTCACTTCTGAAGTTGCAAAGGCTGCACGTGAAGAGGAACCTCAAAAGTCAAAGTAAACTTTCGAATGTGTTTTTGCTCAGAATTGGAATCAATATTTGCCTTATAGGCAACTATAAAGTTCTCTGCCAGTGTGTAAGCAGTTTCAGTACGTTTGTTCCTTCCTTCCTTCTTTCCTTCCTAAAAGGCTGCTGTGGAAACCTATGTAAGTGAGATTACAAATTCTTCAGTAACCTAGGTTCATATTTTATTTCCAGCCTCCGTATCACCCCAATATGCACCCTGGCCAATCACACTGGCACTCACATCCTCCTGTAAATCTAAGGTAAGTGATTGCTCTGTGCAGATGTTGTAAAAGTTATTCAGTCTAGGGGGGGGGGAATGATCTCACTAGTTGGGAAACAGGACCATGTGTATGTTTGTGTGTGTGCAACATGTTGCTCCTAATCTGGTGTCACCTGGGGGCTAAGCATATGAGCAGAGTGCCAGGAAATCCTCAGCTCATCTATGATCTCCCTGTATGAGAATAGGCAAACCACTGTTCTCATTTTCAGCCATCATCTGTAGTACCAGCACCTCCGTAATTCTAGCCTGTCTTGAAGGTAAGGATTGCAGAGATAATGTATATAGTTTGAATACTGGGGAAGAAATGCTATTTGAGAAAGAGGGGATGTGAAGGAATTTTTCACAGAGGCACCTGTGATTTTGGAGATGGCAACTCAGAAACAAAACTTGGCTGTATAATTGGGGTTACCCAAGCCTGTAGAATTACAGATAGCTAAAATTAAAAAAGAGAAATCGGTGGACTTTATGAAATCTGAAATCTGTGATATGGGAATGGTGCATAACACAACCCTCTCAGGATGCCAAGAGTGGAGAAGTCCATAACGTGAGGACATAGCATGGGTTGCTACACATTAATGCCGGGGGGGGGGGTTGCTGCTCAGGCCCAGGGGGGCAGATGAGGCTTCACACTGCAAGCATTTTTGCCTCACTGGAAAATATCCTTGAGCACTGCCAATGCCTCATTTACCTGACTGGAGGAATGACTGCTGTGTGAGTGTATGTGGATAAAATTTGCTTCTCTGGCCCCACCCAACATTGGCACTTGACCCTCAGAAGGGAATTTTGCCCCCCGGCTGAAATAGCCCCCCCAACTCTGCATTAATGGGAAAGGGAGGCCTCAAAGCAGAATCAACTCTCTTTTTGAAGAACCAGAAATTTTAAAAAATGCAATATGGCTTGTGAGAAATCAGAATTTGAGAAGCAACATTGCAGAGAGAAAGTTGCTGTCAAAATCATATAATCATTTTAAAAACAAACAAGTTTTTTAAAAAATAAAATAAAAATTGAAGCTGGATCTAGTAAAGATTTTTACGCCCATCAAAGAATGGGACATTTTTATTTTAAAAGAATCCTGATTTTCTGAGACAGTTATTGATAGAGAAAACTATTATAAAATTAAACAGCATGGACAATCTATCATCTAGTTAGGATCGGAGAGGGGAAATGATGGCACAAATAATTCAGAAGATGGTTAATGAGATTTTTTCAATTAAAATGAGAGCCTGAAACTTCCTTAGTCTTATCGAATATCATTAAAACTACCATTGGCTGGACAAACAAGAACCAATGGTATATATAAATAAATTATGGAAGACAGATTTTTTAAAAAAAAATTCTAGTACTGATTTTTTTTCTTTAAATGGGTCAATTTGAGAGAGCTACATTTTCAGCCTTGGAGTACGCTTACAGCCTTTTAGAGTTCATCAAAAAATACAAAATGAACTTGGTGTAAATGAAATGGGATTTTGGCTGCAGAGTTCTCCTGTTTCTGGGAGGGTACCCCACAGGCCACTGGATGTTTTGGATCATTCTCTCGGGGGGGGGGGAGACGTCACAGAATAGGGAGGCAGGTCTGAGTTTGGGAGCCCTCCCCCCGCCCCGGCCATTGTGGAAACCTTGTCTTAGCACCATCAGACCTCCAGCATCAGTGGAGGCAAAAAAGGCGGCACATTGGGGGACCTGAAATGGGGGGAGCTGGTGTATGAAATGGAAACAACGGAAGTTTCATAAAAAATGAACCCTGGAAAAAAGGGGGGGGGATGATGCCCTGCCCTCTGTTTTTCTCTATTCTTCTCAGCTTTTACCAATCTAAAAGTGTTGGTGGAAATGTATTGTGTAGTGAATTATATTTTGTATGTTTTAGTGTTTTGTCTAAATGTGGGGTTTTTTTTGTTATGTCTTAATGTTTTTATAGAATTAAGTAATAAAGACAAAAAGGAGTCCCACATTCAGGTAGCATTTCCACATTACCCATAATGCCCACATAGAGCAGCGCACATGATTTCAGTACATTTTCAGTGTACAACTAACCTGTTTTTACATTAATGTGCAAAAACAGCTCTCAAGTGTTGAAAATTCCTTAGGGCTGTTTCATCATTTTTCTTCATGGAGCACATCTCTGAGATAAACCTGGTGAACAGCTTCTAAGTGGTCTACTTGAGGCAGAATAAACACTCATATGCCACTTTGCAAGTGTCTGTGTCTGCAATTCCATGCATACACATGTAGGGGAAAGCACGGCACATAATCCTCCGGGGGGAAAGTTCTGCGCAGCCTGCACTGCACAGATGGACAGTGTGTTTCTCCCATTCATTGAAGTGGGACTTGGTGAACTTTCTAGAGGATTGTACTCCATCTGTGGTTTCAGTTCTTCATTCCCCACTTAGGTTTCCCCCCTGCTAATATTTTCCATCCATATAGTCCCCCACTGTCGTCTCATTTTCCATGTATGTGATCAGCTCATTTATTTTGTCATTCATAACTGTCTTTTTCCTTTTTGCTTCTCATTCACCATCACTCTGCATATGCTTCAGGCCACCCTATCAGGATGACAGGCTCTGTTGGAAACAATCCCCAAATGAAGAGGACAGCAATTTGTGGTATATTCAGGACCAGAACCAGAAGAACTTAGTTGGGATCCAGAGCCTGTTGTATCAGGATAAGCTCATGACAACCCTTTGAGAAAGAACCATCTCTCACCGCTTTATGCATCATCTCACATACTCATTGCATTCCAAATAAGTTTTTAAAAATGTGTCATAATCCATAGAGCATAAGGTGTAGTAGACAAAGACTTGCAAGCTGTAGTTCCATTACTTTGGAAAAAGCTAAGAAATATGCCCCAAATTCTGGAATGTTGCAGGTAGTTTATAAAACTGTCATTATTTTTTGACTACTGTAGCCTTTGCATTTTTGTTTTGTTTCATTTACACACAGTTGCAGCTGTTCTGTGGTTTCATTTATGAATAAAATCCAGCAATGATAGTCTTTCGCTTTTTTTCTTTTGAGTTATACTGAAATCAGGAGTCAATATAATTGTAGTTATTAAATATGACTTAATGGCCAGTGATAAAGGGATCCAGATGACTAATAATGAAATGCTTTTAAAAATTCTGTTTATCCCTGAAACAAATAGGTTTTTGCACCAGGTTAACAATTATACAAAAATCACTAGAGTTTATATATATATATTTATATAGCACATCTGACTCTTTGGATTTTATTGATCAGCTTATAAAGTAATGAACGGGTGTTAAGATGGTGCCTTAATAACTGGTGGTGCTGTCTTTCAGTAGACTTGTGTTCTTAGATGAAAGAAAAACCGCCTTAGCCTGGTGATGCTTCTGGTGCTACTTCTTCTCTGTCCCAAATTTATTTGGCCTACGTGTTCAGGAATCCCAGGCTCACACATTCCATTCCAACCACAGTTCCTGTCTGTAGTCATTCATTTTTGCCTTGGGTTGTGTGAGGAGCAGAGAGAGGGTTTATATGAGCACCTAAGACCCAATCCTGAGCTCATCATGCAAGGACATTAGCTGTCTGAATGCATCCCAAGATTTTGGTTCTAAAAGATAGTTTAGACCTATGTATTTTGACATGAGATATGGATAAACAAGTTCAGCTTCTACAGTTGGATATACATTCTTTAGCTACACACTCAGGTTCCTTAAACAAGACAGGCTAAACTTGTGATAGTTTTGGTTTTCTTGAATATGGAGATAACAGTGCCAGCTTTGGTTCACGTGTTGATTTGGCCTTCAAGCTGTGATCTTTTGAAATTGATTGAAATAAGGAATATCTTGCTATTTGGGGGTTATTTTAAAGTGCTAGTGTTGTTCATATGATTTTACAGAATCTAACTTTATAAATGAGGGTAAGTCTACTTCTCCTTCAGAGCAAATACATGATAGTTTAATTTTTTTAATTTAAAGTACGTTTACAAATGCTATTACATTTGTTTTGATCTTTGTATGTGCTGAGTACAAAAAAATAAATATGAATATTTTCTGTTGTCTTTGCATTTTTTATATTCTGGACATGTTTTTAGTCTTCAGACTAGGAAGACTGCATACATCCACAGTGCATTTGTTATACATTTTAGTTTTTAGAAAAAACAGGGTTATTGTTCTAATGGTTACTACATGCACACAAAGTGGCTTGGAAATAGGTTGGGAGATATATTCAGCAAACAGGAAACACAGGTCCAGTCTTCTAAAGAAAACACACACAATTGGGAGTGCCCAACTTAAGATTTTTTCAAGGATTGCCTAGGAACTGTCTTTGTGAAAATGGCATGCAAAAGGCTTCACTCAGGGAAGTGTGCATTTCCTGCAATCCAGTGTTGCTAGCAAATGCCATGCCTGCTGTCATTCTGCCAGAGTGGGGTTAGGGCAAGCTAAGGGAGGAGTAGAGCCAAGCTTGGTTCTCCTGGGCTAGAACTCTGGTCTAGTTCTCAGATTGTAAACAGTATCTGAGCTTTACCACATTAGACTTCAGTCAGAGGGCTCTGTACAAGCTGAGGAAAACTCCTACACGTGCATCCCAGGGGAAAGGGTTTCAGCCCGGCCTCGTTTGCCCGTTTTCAATGTGTACAAAGGAGTATTCAATCCCACGAGCCTTCAGCTGCAGTCCAAGGGGTACTGCCATCAAGGTGCCTTGTTTCCACCTCCGTGAGAAGAACCAGCCCTGGCTCTGAAACTCTTTTGCCAACTGGTAGATTCATTCTCTCTCTCCCACACACACCACTGATAGGAATCATGTTTTATAAGGCCTTCTTGAAGCTATAATAGACAAGAGCTTTTTAAATTATTCAGATATCTGTTTGCTACTTTCCCCTTCAGTGGGTCCCTATTGAGCCCCTGCTTCACTTCTTTAGCAGACGTGCCTGCTTTGCGTTGCAGAGAGTCCAGAGCCCCATGGAGAGGGAGAGAGCCTCCCAACACGGTTCCTGTCAACAATCCGAGCCACATAATAACAAGAATAATAATTTTATTTTTTATACTCCGTCCATATGGCTGGGTTTCCCCAGCCACTCTGGAATCGGGGTTGTCTTTCCCCCTGCAGGATGCTAGCCGTCCTTTTACAGAGTGGTTTTTTTATTGCTAAGGCTGGGTGGGCACAGAGGGAACTAGAAACTTGATTGTACTGGGGAATCATAGAATCATTTTCCCTCTTGCTCCATGGCCAACATGGCAGATAAGGTGTGTAATGCTTCATCGCGCACCTTGTTCATGTTAAAATTTTAAGATTTTTAAGGGCACACAATGCCAGAAACACAGCTTCCAGCACAAATTGATTTTGCATGTATAATACCTGAGATGTATCACAGTTAAGTTTCTGGCATCTCCTTGTAAAGCCCCCATTTCCCTTCAAAGTGAGTGGAGTCCACCTGTGTGGTTGCTCCTGTGAAGAATGGATGTCCTGAAAGCACGTACTGTGCAGGGATAGCACAAGAAGCTCCCATTCTGCACAACCTCGTTTGGAGGCGTAGTATTGAAAGGGCAGCAAAGCATCATGAATTTAGAACATTTGGGTTTCATAACAGGCGTGAAACAAACCAATACTATACATCTCTATCACAACATACATTTGAGGTTTTCATGCCTTCATATAAAGACTGAGGATGCGTAGCCTTGCATGGCAGCAAAAAGTAGGTAACATTGTGTTAGAATTTCTTTATCAGTTTGCAGATGAATGTGGCAAAGATGCACATTGGATGAACTGCACTTTAATTTTGTTCCCATAACTTGGTAGATCCTATTCGTGTTTAAAGTAGTTGATTAAAAAATGCGTAAGTAGAGGGACTGAAATGATTTTTAGCTATTGTTTTTCAGCTATTTCTTTTCAGACTTTGTTTTTAAAACCATGAATTGAGCCATTTGCAAAAGTAATGCATGTACTGCAATTGTTCTTTCAATCTTCCATACTTTCTAATACTGATTTATTCACTGCTATCACACTTCCTTGCGTAAGAGATCAAAGTTTCCAACTGGATATCTATTATACCTAATGACCATTCCAATCATAATGTGTTATCACTTTAGTTACCACAGAACGCAAAATCTGAGAACCGTTTTTGAAGAAATTTACAAATAGTAATGGAGCAGAATCTGTAAATGTAATAGACCTCAGCTATAAAATTATTATATTGTATAAACCTTCCTTACATAATTTACTAGCAGCCTTGTACCTGGAACCACTCAGGATTCTAAGAAACCAAAAATCAGTGCAGTTTTGAAAGGTTCAGTTCACCATCTTGATTCAAAACGGCACCCAATTCTATCCAAACTGTCTTGCCCTCTTCTGGATGAAGAACTCATATTCAGATTACAGTTCCTGCCAAAAACTTGAACACGCAAAGCAAGGCAAGAGGTTAACGCAGCAGGCTAAGATGTTCCTTCAATGGTTGGCACACCTAGGATCCCTGCTGTTAAGGACAGGGGTGGGCATGGCTTTAGCATGGTAAGGGGGGCATGTCTTTGGACGGGGGAACACCTTCAGGTGGGCTGGACCTGAGCCTTGTGTTCACAGCAGCGCTGGCATCTCTCTGTGACAGGAGGCTTGGCGTCAGGCTTGGCACCTGGTGCCTCCTGTAGGCAAGGCTGGCCAGTAGGAATGGAAGGGAGTGGCTACTGCAGCAGTGCAGAAGCCAGTTCCGAGGAAGCTGGTTTGGGCTGGCTAGATGACAGCCCCGTGACTCCTTCTTTGGGATTTGGTTCTCCCACCGCAACATCTCCCCCATAGAACATCTAGCTAGTGGGGTCTGGATGAAACCAGTCTCCCAACCCCTGGGATTGTTGGCTTCTAACTCTTTGAGCCCCGAACAACTTCAGCCTGATCCAAACAGCCCCTCCAAGACGTCTCCTTGGAACTTACGGCACAGTGAAAACCTACTCAACCGTATTCAATACACAATTGAACATTTAATAGTAAAAGTTAGCTACCTACTTTGAGAATCTGGAGAAAAACCTTTATGCAGAGCTTCTTGAAATGAGCAATGAAAAATGGTTATAGAAAGTCTGGAACAGCATAAAAGGTTTACCAACCCACATTTGCTGTTCATCTGCAAGTTTTAAGCAAAACACTCAAACTGCTAAATACCACTCAAAAGTACTCACATCCTCTTTTTTCCTTAGTGGTTGGAATAATAACCTTTTAACCTTGAATATTAGTTTTAAAAAGGTTGAACAGAAATTTAAATAAATAACATAATTAAAAACAGCTGTTTTAATATCCTCCCAAGTCATTATTCAGACATCTTATTAGAGCCTCCATCTCTTTAGTGTGCGGCAGTGAGTTCTGCAGGCTTAGGTTGGATGGTCAAGAAATAGAAGCAAAACAATGGCCAGGAGGCCTGATCTTTATTGTTGCAACAAGACTTCAAACTACAACATGGAAGAAGCAGAGAGAAGCCCCAAACGATGGGTGCGCCTCTTTTTTAAAGGTTTCCCTAGATTACCCATAACAACTTGTTAGAAAAGTCATATATATGTCATAAGCCTGTCATAAAATAGGAGTGGCATCCAGGCTGAAAACTGATGCCATGTCAGTCAGAAATACTCAACATTCCTGTTACAGTGGTACCTCGGGTTACGAACTTGATTCGTTCTGGAGGTCCGTTCTTAACCTGAAACTGTTCTTAACCTGAGGCGCACTTTTGCTAATGGGGCCTCCCGCTGCCAGTGTGCTGCTGCCACACAATTCCCGTTCTCACCCTGGGGAAAAGTTCTCAACCCGAGGTACTACTTCTGGGTTATTGGAGTTTGTAACCCGAAGTGTTTGTAACCCAAAGCGTTTGTAACCCGAGGTACCACTGTACTTGTTAAGACAAAGGAAAATATTCACGATCTCCTACTCCCCATGTCGAGTCAAATAACCCCCTTTGTCTCGACCAGTACTCCAATACACTGAGGCTGAGTGGGCATTGCTTCTGAATGGTTTTGAGTCTGGCTCTCCAGAGACAGGATGCTGAGACTTCTCGCCTATGCAGTGTGGTTGTTGAGTATGTGACCACACACTTCAGGGATTATGGCCGACCTAGGCCTCATCTTCAGCCCCTCCTCTGATAGCCATCTTTCCCCTTAGTAAAACAACGTTGGAATGATGAAAATCCACCATAGGAGGGATTTTATATGAATTTCTAAAGATTCCTGCTAAAAAGAGACTAAAACTCAGACTGGATACTGAATAGCAAAGTTCGTCCGCACTTTCCCTGGCGCTCCAAGGTTCCTCTGCAAACCTCAGCTGGACTTGCCTGGACAGCTGCAGTACCTGCATAGTCCTTGTTAGGGGGCGCTGTTTCATAACCTTTCTACTACTGTGCCTCTGATTGGGTGAGGAACCAGGTAGCTGTCAGAATTAATAGCTGCTGGTTGGTCAATTATTTTGTGAATGAAGAAAATGAGAAGGCAAAGGGATATGTCTATGTCGTGTGGCCCTTATCCATGGGCGTGAAGAGAGAAACAAAAACAAAGAACTGTTGGAGTTATTTCTCTGGTTACAAGTGGAAAGTGGGAAAGGGCAGAAAAACAAGTGTGTATCATCTACAAATTGGTGATACTGCCCTCCTGCCCATTAAAAAAACAAAGAGCTCTCATAAACAGAGCAGTGCACAAATTGCCCCTCCATTCAGAGGAGGAGTTAATTTCTTCAGCGGGAAGAGAGATTCTCCAGCAGTTTTTCCTTGGTGGGATTCACCATTAGAGCTTCTTCCCCTCCTCCCCTAAAAATTTCCCTGTCTCTACAAGAAAGAAGAACAGCAACTGTATCTTGGCTCCCATTTCGCAACCCCCACAAAGTCGCAGATATTTCTAGGAAATTTGGGGAGAGTGGCTTCCTTTTTCTAGTGGTGGGGGTGAAAAGAATCATCTATTTGCTCAGAAAAACACCTTACAAAAAAGCTCATCTCTACTCTCGGGCTTCATGTCAAAAGACATGGGGGACAGAATGGGAAGCTTGCAGCATCCCATGGGAAAGAACTGGCACCACCTTTTGACACCTACCTGAAAAGAGTGACTTC